CTCTCTTTTTGAATCACATTAAAACAGAGAAATGGCAGAAACAGCTGTAGGTGGAACGTGAAACTCTGATTGCAATATTCTGTGCAGCTTCTAACGTGAGAATTGAAATTATTATTTACTAGCAGTCTCATCTATGAAATGTATTCACATTGACAGTGTCTGTCTCCCATACCAACCAGATTAACCTGATCTGAGATAATGGGAGCTGGGGTATGGTATGTCGCTATGGCAAAATACTTTTTCCTCCATGTTAAATGAGGCTTACAATGATCTCAGCATAGTACACTTTACCTAAAAGAAGATATGATACATCAGCAACATGACAGAATCATATCGTACTTGATGGATAAGATTTGTATTTATTCACTCTGCTCCCCCATGCTGTGTATGTCTCCTGTGCTCAATTAAAGTGACACGAAACTTAGGAGTTAAACCTTAAAAATACATTCACGTACCCTAACAATTAACAAAAATGTATCTTATTTGTGCATCATTCGGCTGCAAATCCTCAAATCATCTCCGAATTGGTGCTGACACTGTCCTTCCTTCTGGAGGGGGGCTACTTTCGTTCCCCATGGTCCCTGTGTGTGTTGCTAAGTAGTCACCGCTCCAAGCTCGCTCCCATGATGGACTACAATCTCAATACAAATAAGTAAACTAAACATGAGATTGTAGTCCATTATGGGAGTGAGCTTGGAGCGGTGACTACTTTACAACACACAGGGACCATTGGGAACACAAGTAGCCACCCTCCAGAAGGAAGGACAGTGTCAGCACCAATTCAGAGATGATTGGAGGATCTACAGCCGAGTGATACACAAATAAGACACATTGTTGTTCATAGTTGGGGTATTCAAATGCATTTTTTAATACTTAACTCCTGAGTTTAGAGTCATTTTAAACTGGAAATGATTAAATTCGATTGGCTGCTATGGCATACCTACCTTTGCACAGTCCCTGCATTCTGCACCACTTTACCAAATTAGCCTATAATAGTAATTAACACAATGACTGTACAAAACTATGTATGAAAATCACGAGTACGCGGAGTTATTACAGTGGATATCTAGAATTGTTCAGCAAAGCAAGTATCAAAAACTGCCTTGCAAGTATCAAAAACTGCCTTATGTATCAATGTTTTCCTAAGAACTGCCGGTTTTTCCACATCAACCAATGAGATTTATCCAATTTCCAATGTTCATCCAATGTCTATTGTGAAAAATTGGCTGCTGTGGAGGATACAGATAACTCTTATCTAAGACATTTTAATAAATGAGGCTAAAAACAATCAGTGTTTCACATAAGGTTTAAAATGAACCTGACCTGGCCTAAGACAGTGTCAATGTGCATGCATCCTGTGGTGACGGAAGTACTGGTGTTAGCCTTCAAATTGATCCCCGTGTCAATGTGAAGCCTCCATGGATTCCTAATATTGGGATTCCCATGGGGTCCTAATATTTTCCCCATACCTATCTGCACTAAGCCCCACCCCTCTGCCCCACCACTGTCAAATTTCAGAGCCTCTTGCCCACTGATCTTCTTCCATTTGAAAGTTGAGTGACAGCGGTGGGGCAGATTCGGAGGTGACTAGCTTTATTGCAACATGGGTAGTTGTCAAGACCGTATTTTACAGCCTGCACCTGGGATCCAGAGGGGACGCACATGGAGCGGATTTAAAGTCCAACACACTTAACAGTTCTTCAATGTTAGATTTGGTTTACGCCAGGGCAAGTTCACTTTAAGGGCCTAACGCATCAATGTGTCATCACTAAGAACTGCTTTCATGTCCATGCACAAATCAGATTCAGATCATCCGGTTTACACTGGGGGGAATTTATCGAAACTGGAGCAGACCAAATCTGGAGCAGATGTGCATGGCAACCAATCAGCATCCGCCTTTCATTGTCAAAGCTTAACTGCACAAACTGAAGAGAGAAGCTGACTCGTTGCCATAGGCAACTGCTCCAGATTTTGTCTGCTCCAGTTTTGATAAATCCCCCTCTATGTCATTTACCAGGGCAGAGTTTAACCCTAGCAATGACAATGGAAAAAAGAGAGACAATTAACAACAGTTTAGACCTTGTTCAATAAGAGATATTCAGTACTGAAGCAGCCATTCTATTTCTCTCTGACAGCTGCCCTAAAATACCTAGCATTTCCTGCTATGCTGGAACATGTGACCTCCTCCCATGAGGCAGTGTTCATCCACAAATAATGCCCGCTTGACTGGGGGGGGGCTGACTGTTTCCCCCCTAAGCTCTGACGCTAGCTATTTTGCAGCAACTGTAACAGAGGAAGGAGTGGCAGGGTGCCATTGTCAAGGCAAGGTATAAGGATGTCAGGGCTGAGCTTTAAAATAAACCCTGTCACTTTAGGCTCATTCAATTATTATAAATGTGAAGGATAATTTCAGAAAGATCTTTATTTCTTCCCTCATTTAATGTGTCTTACTAGTTCCTTGAGCCTGAGAGGTCTCCTGATGACTGCGCTGTCAACTGCCTGAGCTCATGCTGATAATACAGTTAGCTCCTAAGTGTGCATAACAGTATGAATCAACAGAGCCCTATGATTTTCGACATATCTCCGAATTATGGGGTTCTGATCTTTGATAGTGTCAGGTACACTCAAGAGCTCTGAGACATCATGTGTCATCAGCATGGAATCAGACAGATAACACAGAAGCAACTGAAAGACCTCATGGCACCTCCCACCTCGTCTCTGATAAAGTAAGTAAAGCCAATTAAAGGGGTAAAATACAATTCTTTTATAAATCAGTTTATATAAGTAAACCTGCATAGTTATGATGCTAGATTGAATATTCAAATCTTTGTAATACAAGACACGTCTCTTCTCCAATCCCTGCATATGTATTATATGAGTTATGTCATCCATTACATGACTGTGCGTCACCATCTCATTGACCTGTGTGTCCTTATTTATAAGTGTCTGGGGGAAGAACTGTGCCAGATAGCCTGCGTTACCCAGAACAGAACGGACAGGGGAATCTGAATGGCTCTGCAGATTTGTGAGGCGGCTCCTTCCTTGAATACTTTGGTAAATAAGACCTAGCGTGCTTGGCGTGTTCATGACTGAGCTATGTGTATTCCCTGCTAGGAAATAAGCAGAAAATGAAGACTGAAATGAGAATTGTGGATCCTGAACAAGGCATTGAGGGAAGAAATGATTTGATGCTGAAGACAGCACAATGCACCTACTGCAGGGTTACAGTATTTGTGTGCCCAGACATGTTCTAGCCACTGAACAACATCACAGTTCTGCTGATAAATGAGCCACGCTCCTCATACATTCCGTCATTCATTAGTACAAGAGCCCAACATGCAGCAGCATCCACACCAAGGCCTGCCCTCTATCTACCTATCCACCAGCCGGCACAGTTTAGCAGGAACAAGTCCTTGCTGCGCTGATGCAAGCTCACAGCTCCCTTCTAGAGGACCTCGTGTCACATCACAGGAAGTTCTTCGCCATAGCATTCAATGTCCTGACTTTGGCCACATCGGCAACCTTGATAGAATACTCTGAGGTAGTGATAGCGGCTCCCATAGACACGGAGTGGTTCCTGGTAGACAGAAAACAGTCATCGTGAGGGATTTTCAGAGGCTGATACAAAAAATGGCTGTTGCATAAAACAAACAATCACTCCTGATATACTTCGGAGTGTATTGATAAAAAGATAAAAACATTTGCAGAGTAACTGGCATGTTCATTTGTTCTGTGTGAATGAGGGGAAAAACAAATATTATTAGTAGGGATGCACCGATACCATTTTTTTCGGTATCGAGTACAAGTACCGATATTTATATTTCCGTACTCGCCGATACCGGTACTTCCGCTAGCATGGAGCCAGCTTCTCGGGACAATAAGGAAGCCAGGCAGCGTGTCATTACCCGCCGCCCAGCTTTTTGATTGCCTGGGAGGCCAGCTCCATGCTGTAAGGCCGGATCCATGCTGATTGGCCGTTAAGCTGGTTTCCCAGACAATCAGCATTTAGCCAGCTTCCCAGCCAATTAGGAAGCTGGAAGGCAGGTCATTGCCTGCCGCCCAGCTTCCTGATTGACCAGGAAGCCAGCTCCATGCTGTTTGGCCGGCTTGATGGGAAATGGCTGGGAAGGCGGCTGCCCGGCCAATCAGCATTGAGCCGGCTTCCCGGAAAATCAGGAAGCCGGGCGGTGGGTAATGACCCACCGTCCGGCTTCCTGATTGGCAGGGAAGCCAGCTCCATGTTCCCTCGCGGCACTGCCAGTCAGAGGAAATCTCCCTCTGACCAGAAGGTCCTATATCAGGGAAGGTATCGGAGCATTTGGGCGAGTACCAAATACTCGGTATCAGCACCGATACTAACATCGGTATCGGTGCATTCCTATAATAATGAGTATATTTTCTTTCCGGGTCGAATTTTATATTAGGAAAATATTGCATTATGGCTACTAGATGCAGCTGAAGAGCATAGGAAATAAGTATTAATTCTATATCTAGTGGCCATAATGCTGTATTTTCCAGAATCACTCTAGGCTTATGAATGACTTACATTCGACCTGGAAAGAAAATAGCCCAAAATTCATTTTTGCTTTCATTCGCACAGAACGAATGTACATGCAGTTTTCGCAGGACAAATGGCTGTGCAATCTTTTTTTATAAATACACCCCTCACACTGCTATGAAATGATAGATGGAACAGACAAAGACTTCTTAACAGATGATAACAGATCATTTTAAAAAAATCAAAGATGACCAGGCAGAGTTATTCTTGTGTGTAGCTGCCTATAAAGATGTTATTTTGGAATATGAGAAAAGAAAAAGGGGTTGGGTTGGTTACTGCCAGTAACAGAATTTACATTAGACACTTGTCATCATGGAACCCAAATTTGCATAGCAGTGCTAAAACTTGTCTAGAGAGATGTATCTTTGACTCCTACCTAATAATAAAACATTAGTCCTGGGTGGACTTGCAGGTCAGGTCCCTGCACAATATCCAATCTGAGGGTGGCCTGCAGGTACCAATGGCTCCACTGACTGTTACTACATTCGTGTAAGAGGTGTTTTAGGTAGCTGCCATATTTTAATTGAACCTGTATGTGTATTAGATTGTAAATATCTTCTGCAAGGACAGTTTTCACTGAAGGTTTCAGGTCAAGACCCATTCAGGTTTATAGGATTTTATGTTCTACTGGTCTGGTATAGGACAAAATACATGGAGAAAAAGTGCAAAACATTGTGTAGTACAATCCCTGTGTGTGGAGACCATGCACACTGCAGCCAGCAACAGCATGTGACACAAGGATAGTACAGGAACCAGCAGAGACAAAGATGAATTCCTTGGATGCAAACCAGCGTTGTCTATGTAGCTGGGAGAGTTCTACCCGCATCTCCTTACACTTTGGGTCTCCACCATTGCTGATCCTGGCATCCCTGTACTATGAGTGTGTCACATCCTGCCATTGTCCATGGTATGCAGGCTCTCTACACAAAGGATTTGCTGCAGGGCCATTTATTAGGCACTTTAACCCTACCTGTCTCTGAGCACATTATATTATTAATGTATCTGCAGTATTTCATGGGTCAGTCAGCTCCTTCTCTATAAAGTATTTTCATGGAAACTGCAGTTGTATACTTATTCCTTTAACCATTTACACAGCCACTGCTTATTCTGCGAGAAGCCTGATTGCACATTATGGCCTATAAATAGTATGACATCTATGTTGTGTACCTGTATTTCATTAACGATTCCTTGGTAGAGCGGGCTGAACAGTGGAACTCCTGAACTCCAGTTCCTTCCAGGATTCTGTGCAGGTTCCTCTCTGTAATACCACCTCCTACAGGAACAAATATTCACAGATTATTTCACCTCTAGAGACCAACTGAACCCACATAATTTATTACTGTATCATCCGGGATCTGAAATGCTCACTCACAAACACACACACACTGCACCAATCAGGTAGCCAGAGCACTGTTGATTGGTGGACTGTCTGTGTGGGGTGGGGGGGAACAGAGGGTGCCCAGCCCCTAGGGTGCCGGATTGTTGCTTTCTGTTACAGAGCCAACACTCTCGACTGCTACTGCAACTTACTGGTGTAAAAAAAAAAATGGTCAATTAAAATCAGATTTATTATCGTATTACCTGGCTTAATAAATCATAAGGTTTCAAATGGGCTTTACAGTGGAAGTAAAGTAGGAGGGGGGAGAGAGGCTCCAGCATATTTTAGATTTAACCCGATAGCATGCACAGCATATTAGCACATTATGGATGACTCAGCTGCCAAAACAATCCCTCCAGTGCTGCGATGTCTGGGCTTTTCTCCCTCACCAGCACTTCCATCTTCATTCCAGTCTTCTTCTGGGTTCTGATTCCTTCGCCGCTTGATAGGCCAGGTCCCAAGGACGTAACTCCTGTGCTTGCATCAGACTGTGCATTGAGCTGCGAATTGTGGCTCAGTGTACAGGCAGCTAAAAGCTTTTACAACAGAAGAGTCTTACACAGTTTCTTCCATCATTAATAGCTTGCAGGTCGGCAATTACATTTTTTTACTTTACTTCCACTTTAAAGTTGAACTAAAGGGAAATATGGAAACACCAATCAATACAGGTATTTAAAAAAAAAAAAAAGTTTAAATGTATTTTACATTTTTACATTAAAGGAGAACTATGAGGTGTGATTTACACTCATCCTCATAGTCAGAGCCGACGTGTGACAATGAAACTGTCACACGTCGGCTCTATTGATCGGGAAGTGACCGAACATCGCTCGCTCACTAACTTCCCGATCATCTCCCTGCAGAGAGTGGTGACTCCCCCTCTCTCCAATCCTCCAGCGCTGACTGAAGGAACAGATGAGGGAGGGGGGCGGGCACAGCTGTCTCTGCCTCTAGATAGACAGAGCCAGCTGTCAATCAGCTAGCTGGATGGATCCTGACAGTATTGTCGGGATCCATTCCGGTTGTGGTGCTCTCAGTATATAGCTCGCTATATACTATACTTTGGGTCACGGGAGGAGGTTAGTATATGTCCTCCCGTGACTCTAAACAGAACTATGAGATAAAAAGGTTACCCCATAGTTCTCTTTTAAACTAGTGCAAATACTACTGTACCTAAAACGTGTAGGTACCACCAGCCTGTAGGCTCTCATACAGCAGAGAGGGGGAGGTCAGGTCAGCACAGTGCTCGCAAGCAACATACTGACAGAATGAAACAGCAAACGGAGCAGAAAGATGACATCATTATCTTTTTTGTATGTGTGTAGATATTTCTTATGCCTCATTTGTTTGAAGGCTCATATATGTGACTCATTTACATCATTATCAGTATGCTGCTTCTCTTTCACTGTCCAATCAGCAAGTTGGGATTGTGTCCAGGTTCTGCTTTACACTGAAATGTAACATACATCAATACTGTAGCTCTACTCGTTATGCATAAACATTTATTAAAATATTTCACACTCCATACTTTATCATTATAAATTTATATGAATTTCAAACTGAGTTTATCCGAGTTATGCAAACACAGCTTACACCCAGATATATTTTCTTACCTGGCATCACTATGATTCGGCCTTTAGCCTAAAATGAAACAAACCTCCGTTATTTCTAGAATGGTGATATGTATCTGCAGCAGATGTGGATGCAGTATAAAAGCGCGAGACAATACAATAAAAGGCTGCTGTACAGGCTATAGTGAATAGCCCATACAGCAGCCCTTTGGCTCGACTCAACTGAAGGGCTCCGGGAGAGGCCGAACTTACAGAAGAACTTTCCATATGAGTAAGTGTACACAGTGAGGGGAATTTATGAAAACTAGAGCAGACAAAATCTGGAGCGGCTGTGCATGGCAACCAATCAGCTTCTCTCTTCAGTTTGTTCAGTTAAGATTTGAAAATTCTGATTGGTTGCCATGCACGGTTGCTCCAGATTTTGTCTGCTAAAATTTTGAGAAATTCCCCTCAAAGTGTATTGAGCACATTCTGAATACAATACAAGCTGCTACAATACAAGAATACAAGCTGCACACGTGGCCTAAATATTACCTGTTCCACTAGTCTCTTTATTAGAGGCAAGCCTTCCAGTGCAGAGCTGTCACATCCACTGGTCAGCACCCGTTCAAACCCCAATGAAATCAGAGTCTCCATAGCTAACAGAGGGTCGTACACCATGTCAAATGCTGCAATAGAATAGCAGGGTGATTACAATGGACCTGCACTCTTATTACACTTACAAAAGATGCTACATCATAACCATGGCTGCAGGAAACCTGGACAATCAAACAGGAAAGTTTTGTGTGTTTTCACAAACCTTTAGTTATGAATGCAGTAAACCTCTTTGCAGTTTTTATTATGACTTTCACATTTCAGTTTTGGCATTTTAAAGATGCATAAATTATCACTAGATCTTTAACAGGCTCAGTCCAGTTGCTTTGTCTCTTTCTTGAAAGCTCTTAAAGTGTATGCCCAGAAATACTTTTTTCTCCTTGCTTAGGATAGAGTCTGGAATGATTAGAATCCCTGTCAGATTGTTGCATCTATCCAGAACTCTGCTATCGAGATTTTCCTTCACTTCCTGTCTTGCTGAAAACAGTTTATCAGACAAGAAGAAGTGAAGGGAACTCTCCAACAGCAACACAGATAGACTGTCTGAAGGACATTGAACGGCTCACTCGAATGGGTGTTTATTTCCTTGGCTTTTATGCCATTTTAAAGAGGAATGTGTAGTGTAGTTTGCATATATTTTATACATTTATAATTTCCTTGTGAAATATCTCACAGGAATACTTCAGCAGGTGGTGAGCTCTATGCAATCAGCAATGGAGAAACGCAATATCTAAGCAGACATACTACATAACAAGCTACTCTGAAGATAAAGTCATCTTATTATGGCGGTAGGTTGGGTTCTACTTACCCCGATGGAATGTGATGGGAAGGGGACGGGAGACAGCTGAAAAAAACAAAATAATAAGTTCATTATTATTACATAGGATTTATATAGCGCCAACAGTTTGCGCAGCGCCCATAGCTATAGACCAAACCTACTGAGCAGAATGCTAAAGGTTAGAAATTTAGGCCATTTTTTTTAATGATTCGTGATTAAGTCAGGTACGGACCGGGATCGCGTACCTGACTATGAGACCAGCCGCTCCTTGCTGTCCTGTCCTGGCTCCCTTCCTTTTCGGACGGAGCTCTGCAGTTCTGAGCTCCGTTCTCTGCAGTAAGGTCTGCAGACCTTACTAATCCATCCTTGCGAACGGGGCTCAGAATTGTCAGAGCTCCAGTGATCGATCGAAAGTAACAGAGCCAGGACAGGATAGCAAGGAGCGGCTGCTCTCATGGTCAGGTACGCGATCCGTGACCGCGTGCCTGACTGAATTTCCACTCGCCCTCTCTTTATTTCCACTCGCCAAATGCGAGCGGGCGAGTGGAAATTTTGAGCCCTGATCTAATGTATATATCTGTGAGAAAGGCTGAGCCTGACCTCAGGAAAGCAGTAATACAGTAAATCAGTTCTTTAATATGAACCATTGAATAACATGATATAACATTCTTATTTTGTGTTCCTTACCAAGTAAATCCATGCACAATTCTGTATCGATTCTGCCATCCTCTGTCAGAGCTCCAAACACCAGTCCATCTGCGCCATGGATTTTGGCGAGGCGGATGTCGGCCTTCATCACCTCCACCTCTCGATCTGAGTATAGGAAATCTCCTCCCCGCGGCCGAACCATCACGAATACCGGAATCTGCACATACTGCTTCACTATCTGCAAAAGACCTGGAAAAGCACAAACGTGTCGTCATGTAATACCTTTCTATACAGTATTAATGAAGATGTTCCAACCGATCCTATATTTTCCTAAAAAGACAGCAAAAAGAACCCGACTAGAATAGAGAGAACGCCCACACACGACTCTGTTTCTCAATGACGCAATTAGAAAAATTAAAAATTCAGATTAAGAATGTGCGTCAGCACCATTACGTGGTTTGAACAAGTGAGGCAGCGTCATCCATTACATCAGAATGTAGAAATAAATTCAGCACAGTCTCACCGATGGTTGGCGTAATTCCTCCTTCCAATAGACTAGCACACAGCTCAATCCTTCCAGCACCTAAAATAAAAAAAAAAAACACAAGTAGTGAGATTATGTATAGTGTAGTTACCTCAATCTTATTCCCATGGCCGGCACAGGAGCCCCGTAGACTTCTCCGGCCGGCACAGGAGCCCCGTAGACTTCTCCGGCCGGCACAGGAGCCCCGTAGACTTCTCCGGCCGGCACAGGAGCCCTGTAGACTTCTCCGGAAGGCACAGGAGCCCTGTAGACTTCTCCGGAAGGCACAGGAGCCCCGTAGACTTCTTCGGCCGGCACAGGAGCCCAGTAGACTGCTGAGGGGGAGGGTAGGTTCTGTAAGGTCAAAGGGCAAAAAGAATAAGTGCACTATATCCGAAAGTCCACTTATTCTTTAAGGCAGGCCAACGAGTATGGTGTGGATGAGCCCCGAAGCTTACAAGAGATTTCAGTGACTGGATTTACATCTACTTCAAGAAAACTCACCTCCTCGTTCAGCATTGATCGCAGACTCCACGGAATCTACACAGACCTCCATGAGGAACCCCTGGTCCGCCATCTCTCTGCACAAACAAAGACACCATCATATAAGAGGCAAGCCGATCAATTCGAGATTCATGCAATAAAACACATTTTAATGATGTGCATTGTATATAAAAGGCCCTCGTCTACATTGATGGACAAGCACTCCAAGAAGAGGACTACATACGTCATACAAGAGAGCGTTGTTGTGATTAACAATACTAGAAATGGTCGTCTGCGCTTCCATGGAACCTATAATGGTGTATTGTTTACCAAGTTGTAACCAGTATAGGCCGGGCCCTCCATGGCGATGAGGACGGAGGGCATCATCCTGTTCATATTTCCCACATTACACATAGGCACCAGTCATCTATTAATAATCCAATCATCAGATTTACTCCCTACCCAAGGTCCGCCCGCTGTCCCAGGGTCATTAAATCGAATTGCCCGTCCCGTTTTCTTCTCCGGGGGGCCAATTAGGTTAAACGTAAAATTATGTTTTTGGTTCACATCATGAGTGAAGGGCCCTCCAAACCAATCCTGATTGATAAGTGTTAGGGCTGGCCTACCCAGGCCTACCATTAAAGTGAGCTCACACAGGCAGGAGTCACCCTGAGGTCAGTGTACTGGGCCAGGCCAGGAGGTGAAACACAGGTTGTGAGGGTCACACAGTGTCCCCCCCCTGGATATCATGCCCTATATAAATGTACAGGAGGAAGAGGGGGGGCTGAGGAGAGGTCACATGACTGACCCCCACATGCTCAGAGCGGGGCACACATGCAGCTCACTCCCAGCCAACACAAACTGTATGTTTACCTCCCAGCATCACCATTCCCCTCTCCCTCCCTGACAGGGGGTCGCACAGCCTACCACTCCCTCTGATTGGCCGAGCGCACCACCTGTCTCCTTTACCATTGGACGTCTCGGGACGTATATTACTCTCCTATAGGAGCAAAGCAACATCCGCCTCGCCCGTCCTTAGGAAAATACCCCTGCTTCTAATTGGGCGACAAGCTGACAGTGCGCCTCCCAACTACGGATAATAACTTCTCATTGGCCCGCCGTTTTTTCAACGGGGCGACGTCATACGCTCACCTTGAAGGCTAGCGGCGCCATCTTGGTTGTGGTACGCCGCTGAATTCTAGTTCATAAAATAGTGACGGGACAAAAAAAGGCATTCGGCCTTTTATTAGAACTCATCCAATACGGTATTCTGTCGAGAATGCCGACCCATTCGAATTTGCCGACAAACAACGTCCATCTGGTTATTTCTTTAGTGAAGCCCTGTGCGTGACGTGCGCGGATACGTCGCATTGCTATGATGTAATCGCCGTCGCGATGACGTTTACGTCAATATGGCTTCGCCCCTGCGAGTGACATTTGTGTGCTGACCGGAAAGTTTATTGCTATGAGAATGAGAAGAACTTGGAGAGGTGAGCGGGGAGGGAGCTGTGTGTCCGGAGACTGTACACTAGAGAGGGAGGTAGGCAGACAGACCGACCGACCTCATCATCTTCTAAGGCTGTCAGGCCAAGCTTGGAGAGAACAGTTACACAACAATCACACTGGGTAGTTATACAACACCAGTGTCTGACCTGCAATATAGTGACTGTAGACTGTTCTATGACGGAATTTCGCCATAATGTCCCTGTATACAAAGATTACTCGGACATGATGTGACCCTTTAATAAGTATGTCCTATTCCATGCAGACCGCCCCAGGTAACGCTCACCTGTGGTGCTGAGCCTCCGTGATGGAAGGATCTGACGTCCAATTAGTTAAAGGGGTTCTAAACCCTCCGTTTTTTTGAATATATATACTGCTAGCAAGCAGTAGATATAGGCAAAAAGTAGTTTTTTTTAAACGCTTTAAAAGCAGTTTAAACTTACCCCGTCTTCACCGCACGCTCCCGTCCGAGAATCCGAAACTGCTCAGGCCCGCAAAGCATCTTGGGGCGGGTGCATGCGCAGTTCGGATTTTCGCCTGGGAGACTCAAGGTAAGTCTATGGACGCGTGCACCCGCATGCAGACACCGCGGGATCGGAAGTGCCTGCAGGGACAGAGGAGTCAGCGCTGGATCGAAGAGCCGCCGCACCGCTGGAGGGACAGATGAAAACTACAGGAAAGACGAGGAAGATCGGATTAGGAGACATCATTTAAGGTAAGTGCGGACATTAACATTGGGGTGAGGGGAATTAATTTTTTTACTTTAATGTCACTTTAACCCTTTTGCTGTCAGCGGCAATACCTAACACGTGTAGCGCAATTGTCATTTTCATACGTATGCACCTGGCATGTGTTGCTGTTAGTATGCATGCGTTGGCGTGGGTCGGGGCCTTTGTTTTCTTTTTGCTATCACAAAGGGGGGGTTCACAAGGCCCCCAATGTGATAGTATTTTAGTGGTGATAGTTGTTTTTTTTGAGGGGACATCAGGAGTCTATTAGATTCCCCAGTGTCACCTTTGTACTTCAAAGAAGCTTTTCAAGTGCAGATTGTGACTGACAGCTGAAAACTTGGAAGTGATGTAAGCCGTGATCCCAGCCCTGAGCCCGCAGGAGGGGCAGTGGAGCCCGGGAAGCAAGGCAGGCGAAGGGAGTGGACCGGCTGCCAGAATTGCTTCCAGAGTATAGCCGATGGAGTCTGTGTACAGGGGATGGCAGCCTCTAAGGCAGGGGTGCCCAAAAGGTCAATCGCAATCTACCAGTCGATTGCAAAGCTATTTCTGGTAGATCGCGTTCGCATGTTGGAATTAGCTGCTCCGTTTGTCTGGGAGCTCAGCTGCTGGGGGCCGGGTGCAGTTTTCTGTGTTGGCCAGCAGGTGGCGCTGTGTCCTGGCGTAGCCGCTGACACTGGAAGCCCTGGCTCTGCATGCAGCTGCTCTGGGGGAATCTGAGAGCCGATTCTTGGGGGGGGGGCATTGTGTCCCGAAGCCTGTGTTTATAGTCCCATAGTTTACCTCCTCTGATAAGAGTGCTTGGTCTAACTAAGGGCCCATTCAGACAGGCTGGGGAGGAGAGAGCTAGATAATGCTGTACATCCTTTAACAAGGAAATAAGGCGGGCTCTATCTGACTCTAATGCACATGGTGAGAAGCTCACAGTGTGCAGTGAGATCAGAGGAAGCCAGTCCAGGACAGGAGCCGGTACAACTGTGCGAGACTGAAGGGGAGGCCCGAGTTCAGGCTTTTATTACCTTTGTTATGTAGCACTACACGTGTTCTTGTCATTATATTGATGTGTATGTTGTAGCAGTGCCAAGGAGTGTGAGCACTGGTGATTTGGTGTACTGTGCAGGGGGCGTGTCAGACCACTGGAGATCCAGCTGGCTGCGCTCTGTGTGGGTACTGGTCTGGATCTCCACTGTGCTGCTGGGGCAGAGCAACCGGATATAATAATAAAATGCTTATTTTTTGTTTTATAGGGGAAATCTGAGAAGGCAAAATGCTAATTTTATCCCTCCGTTCCTGCCTGACGCACGGCAGGGTGCAAGCTCTACGTCTCATCCACACTGGGGGAGGCAAGGTAAGTGGATTGCTGCAACAGAGCTAAAAAATTAACTTTACAAGCTGCAGCCAGTCAGATAGAGAGCCACTGGGATGACAAATGTTATATAAAAATTGGTTTTATTTAAGAATTTAATTAGCATGTCATTGAGACTGCGAGGGGGGAACTCCGCGCTGGATTGCTTGCCGGCCTGCTCCGCGCTTGAGCTTGCCGGGCCTGCTCCGCGCTTGCCGGCCTACTCCGCGCTCGGGCTTGCCGGCCTGCTCGCCCCTGCCGGCCTACTCCGCGCTCACCCCTTCCGAGCGTGGAGTACAGTTTTCCAAGGGCAGCAAGAGTAAGGGACATGTGAGGTTGAATTTCCAAGCTTGCCTGATCTCCTGGGATATATTGAAGTGTCTTTAATACCTTACCTGTGGTTATTTTAACAGAGCAGCAACCAATGGAAACACACCATACAGAAAAGATGGAAAAGTACTATAATTTCAGATATTGCTGCACCATCCAGAGCCGCTGTGGGGTCTGTACCAAATGCCGCTGCAAACCGATCAATAGGACGATGGCTGCTTTTATGTAGTGGCATGGTGGGGGGCGCTGTGCTCCTGGGAGGAATCACTAGGTAAGAAATTAATTGTTTGTCCTCTGTCAGTATTTCTTTTACTCTTTTGTTCTTTTTGAGAGCTGAAGATAGCAAGGCGTCTTGTGATTGTGTTATAGGATTACAGCTATGAAACCTTTTTAGGAGTGCAATGAAATGTTTTCTGCCTTTTTCTCAGGTTAACAGAGTCTGGACTGTCAATGGTGGATTGGCACCTCGTTAAAGAGATGAAGCCACCGACAAATGATGAACAATGGGAGGCGGAGTTTAATAAATACCAGCAGTTTCCCGAGTTTAAAATGTAAGTTGGAAGATTCAATGTGTAGTCAGTGTGAGGATGCAAAGATTTAGCTGCTGATATGATAGAAGAGAGTTCAAGTAATCAGTGAGTGAGCCCCAATCATACATAGCATCTGCTTACCAAGACATTGGCCCCTGGTCCAGGTATGCCAACCCAACTTTAGGCAACAAATATAATATCCTTAAGATCCTTTTATTAAACTGAACATAGTATGATCCTTCCTATTCAGAAGTAGGGAAAAGAAACTCTGTTATGTACTTGTTACTGCTGGTGCTTATACTATGTGTAGTTAAGTAAAGGATCCTAAGGATGTTATCTGCTTCGGGGTGATCATCTTTGATCACTGAGTATCCTCCTGCAAATCCCATAAGGTGTAATATTGCTTCCATCTGAAGTTTTAATTTAAAGTTTGGAAACTGAAGGATATCTAAAGTTGATATATATCGACTATCTATATCTCGATATATAGATATATATCTATATCGACGTTGTGATATCATCTAAGCATCTAGGGCACAGCTTCCTCTGACTGCCAGTCTCACAAGATTTGGAGTGGGATTTGGTAATGTGACGACTCTGATGATCACTGTTCTCCTTGCTGTATCTGAGGACCTGCAGTGCAAGGAACTCCCTTTTCTGCTTCATTTCATTATGTGGGTCTGTGCTTACTCCACCTCTCCTGCTGATTCTTGAATATTAACCCTCCCGCTATGAGGGGGGGGGGGGGGGGGGGGGGGGAGGGGGGGGCAGCTATGACATTAGGAAGCATAACCTTGCCTCTACCAAGATGGCAACCTCCACACAGAGACATGTTGCAGAACACGGCATGGTAAGTCAATAATGAGAAAAGATCAGCTGCAGAAAGCACACGGGCAATGCTAGTGCCTAGTCTTTTGCCCTCTGCTTATATATTTTTGGGGCACAGCTTCCATGGTACAGGTCCTCTTTAATGTATATTGAACTTAAAATTGGCCTAGAGGCATCTCAACTGCATCACAACTCATTCTCAAGTACAAATGAGACAACAGCAGATGTGCCCAGTGCCTAATGTGATGTGTAAGCCAGTAAAGTCACATGTTACTCCATGCTCTCTTCTGGTCAGGAGGTATTGTCAATAGATGCAAATATGGCTGAAGGTTAGTCTGGGTTGATGCCTGATTTCTGTGATGCTGTGTACTGTCTTTGACTTTAGCTGGATCCGAATACTAGGCAGTGTGGCTGTGTGCCTTTACTTAATTGCACTAAAGTATGGTAGATCCCATCACGCTCCTGACTGGTTTTATCAAGCCCACTTGAGAAGGTTTGGGGGGGTGCAGAAAGTGACCGCGTATGCCTCCGCATACCAAACGAAATAGACTAAAAGTCACTCGCACTCCAACGCAAAAGAAGCTCAATCTCCTTTATTGACCATCGTGATGTCACATTTGATATATGCGACGTTTCGGAAACCAAGCGGTCCCTTCTTCAGACAAACAATAGCTTTTTCTTTGCCTAAAGAAGGGACCGCTTGGTTCCGAAACTTCGCATATATCAAATGTGACATCACGATGGTCAATAAAGGAGATTGACCCTTATTTGCTTTGAAGTGCGAGTGACTTTGGTCTATTTACTTAATTGCACAACACACATGGTACATCTGCTGTTCCTTTTATTGTAACAAGCCCTTTTTTTCCTCCCCCTTCTTTAGATTAAATCAGGAGATGACGCTGAATGAGTTCAAGTACATTTGGTTCATGGAGTACTCTCATCGTATGTGGGGACGGGCAGTGGGTCTGGCATACATTCTTCCCGCCATTTACTTTTGGAGGAAGGGATGGTTCAATCGTGCGTTGAAAGGACGAGTGCTCTTTCTTTGTGGCTTTGTCTGCTTCCAGGTAAGGACTGAAGAGCAGGAAGTGGCATAATGGTGATTGTGATGATTGGCTCTTCCCAGCTCTCCTGCATATGTCTTCCTACAGGGTCTCCTGGGCTGGTATATGGTGAAGAGCGGATTAGAAGAAAAACCAGATTCCTATGATGTCCCTCGCGTCAGTCAGTACCGACTAGCTGCTCATTTAGGCTCTGCCCTCCTTTTATATTGTGCAAGTCTCTGGACAGGACTGTCTCTGCTCTTCCCAAGACATAAGGTATAAAAATACTAACATGTTGTGTGCATGGTGTATGAAGGACAAAGGTGACTAGAGTAACTCTGGTCATCACAGCCGGTGACTGTCACTAAGATCATGTAGTGTCATTTTGTTCTATACTCTTATTTTATGATGCCAGCCCTTTGTTTTTCTATCTGGAGGTAATTCAGTTGATAATACATTTTATCTTGATGTTTAATTGGGTCTCCCTATAACTGCCTTTTGTAAGTTCCACCCAGGGCATGCCATACAATGGATCTGAATGAATCTCAGTTGCAGGTTAGACATTGCTTCTGACTTTTGAGGTTCAGTTCTATTGCGGACAGTAAATGACACGCATTCCCTTCTGTAGAAACTGAGCTGGACCTTCAATATGCTCACACCTAAAGTTACCATTTCAGGCTAGATTGTAGATTTTAAATGACAGGTTCTCTTTTACCCCCCAAAAAAAAGACTCCAACCCTCTTGACCTAATCTACGCTAGAACTCCCCACATTACCCAGGTGCTTACTCGCCTCATGGCAGCAGCTTCCTCCCAACTCTTTGGAACATCCTAGCCAGTTACTAGGTTATAAGTCACAAGTTATAGACTTGAATCGGGCCTTTCCCCAGCAGTACAGACACTATAGTTAGGGACTCACTGCATAGGCTCGAGCATCTCCAGACAATATTTTGGGCTGAAGGCTGTAAATGTTGGAGGAGGCCACTGTCTGAGAGAGGTAAGTAAGCACCCATGTGGGAGGAAGGGGGGTCAAGCTTAGCCCAGGTTGGGGGTGTTATTAAAGGGGAAATTGTCCTTTATTGGTCTCCTACAGACAGCTAAAGTAGTCTCAGGCTGAATGAGGAAATCATGCTCCCGGATTCTGTTATACTGATAACTCCAAAGCATTTAAAAATAAGAAACCCAGGTGTACTAATTTAATAATTTATTTCTGATTTCTGTCTTCTGCTGTTCTTAGAATATTGCAAGCACCCTTTTCTACATGGTACTGAGAAATGAGTCAGTTGTAACAATCTGTAGAGTGTCTGAGGTCAGCCACCCTTCAGTGCTTTTTTGGAATGTTAGGCTTGTGTCTGGTGCCGGCTGAATAATGAGAATTCATATCCTATTATTGCATCTTTTATTGGTTACCATATTGTTAAAGAGAGAGAATTTATATTGCCCTTTTTTTTATTGAACCCATTCTGCTTTCCGTGCAGATCCTGGCGATCATGAGCTTTAGACCACACGTGTTTGTTTTCCTCACTGATGGCTTGTCTGTCTAGCGCAGGGAGGGGTAGGAGGGGTCCCCGGGACCTTTTCTGGCAAATTGCTTCCACAGTAACAACAGTCCTTGAGATTTGTGTATAGATAACAGGGCAGTATATAAACTCACCAGAAGGGATGTCATATAAAGTATATATGGTAATGTATCTGCGATATAATCCTATTCCAGAGTTGATTTCTTTCCTTCCCAGAAGGTGAACGTCCTACTACTGCTGATTAAGTCAGTCGCAATCCTTAACATTCATTTTCCATATTTTTTTTTACTTTTTACCGCATAGTTGCCTGAGACACGTCAACTGATGAAGTTGAGGATGTTTACACACTCGACAGCAGGCCTTGTCTTCCTCACCGCGCTCTCAGGTACATTATCAAATCATACTGACCTCCTATGCATGCCAATAACTGGAATATACGGTGACACATCAGATATTAAAGATGGAAAGTCATGATTCAAGCCAGCAGGGCTCATGGTAGCCAGATATCTGTGGTATGAAATAGTGGATACTAAGGTATTAACTTACTGACACGGGCTTTAGGAACATGTAGCATTACAGCTGTCATAAGACTATAACTCTACTAGGGATTTACTGATACCAGTTTTTCTACAAGTCCCGATATTTATCATTTAATACTCACTGATACCGAGTACCGGTACTTCCGCTAGCAATCTAGCATGGAGCCGGCTTCCTGGACAATTGGGAAGCCTGGTGGCATGTCATTACCTGCTGCCCAGCTTCCTGATTGGCCGGGAAGCCGGCTAGATGCTGATTGACCGCGAAGCCGGCTTCCCAGCCAATCAGCATGGAGCTGGCTTCCCAGCAAATCAGGAAGCCACGCGGCGAGTCATTACCCACCACCCAGCTTCCTGATAGGCTGGGAACCTGGCTCCATGTTCCTTCGTGGCACTGCCGGTCAGAGGAAATCTCCCTCTGACCAGCAGTTCCTGTATTGGGGAAGGTATCTGAGCATTTGGGCGAGTACTAATATCGATATGGGTGCATCCCTACTCCGCACTATCCTCCTTAATCCAAGATGAATAGGAGAAGAAACTCATGTGGCAAAAATGTATTGGATTACATAATCATGTATGGTCTGATACAGGGATGGGAACTCCGGCCCTCCAGCTGTGCTTTAACTACAAATCCCAACATGCCTCTGGGAGTCCTTTCTGTAACTGTCAGTCTTGCAATGCCTCATGGGACATGTAGTTCCACAACAGTAGGAGGGCCGGAGTTGTCCACCCCTGCTCTAATATATTTCCATAAAAATGGGAGATATTTTGGCTCATACCGGTCTATCACTAGTCATAAAACATGGATCCTTTCAAAGAGGTTGTGAATGTGCGATCTGCATGCAGTCACTACTCTACGTGATCTCTGCGATCTTATATCGGAAACCTTGGGAATGGTAATCTGACTTGTATGTCAAAGTAAAGCTGAGACACTGCTAAGAAAAATGGGAATGTCTGTGAATTGCCTTTTAGGTAGCGGCAGAGTTGTAATTGACTCCCTCCGTCTCTTGGCACCTCTTCATCCCCCACAGAAGGGGTAGGCCAAGTCCGGACCTCCAGCTGTGGTGAAACTTCATATCCCATCATGCATCTGCCTCTGGGAGTCAGTCTTGCTATGCCTAATGGGATTTGTAGTTGCAACACAGCTGGAGGGCTGGAGTTTGCTTACCCCCGCCCTACAACTTTTTTTGTGCTGGGACTTGTGACTCCGCGGCACCTGGAGAGCCGCAGATTGCTGACATTTGCCGCACAATATAACAAAGGTAAACAATATTTATTTCTTGTTTTTTGCGGGACATGTGAAGGCTTACACTTTTGGGATATCCTGCTGCCTACAGGAGGACTGGACAGGGGTAAACAAACTGTAGGCCAGCCCAGGGTATCACTCCTCCTGCTACCTGTTCATGGTCATGCTGTCGGTACCGCTTTGCTACAAAATTGAGGCATACTGGTAGTTGGAGGGGCTAGCCTGGTCTGGCCTACAGTTTTTTGTTTCCTAGTGACCAATCCTCCTGTAGGTGGCAATATGACAGGCAAACTTTTAATTAACCCTTGCAGTGGGGCTACCCCTGTACTGCAAGGGTTAGGTGCTCATTTGTATCTGGTTGCTAAAATAACAAAGTTATACTTACTCAAAGGTTCGAGCAGTGCTTCCTCCAGGCTTTCGCCTCCTCCACTGCAGCATTAGAATCTTCCTCAGCGTCCTCATGTCTATACACTGTGTATAGAATAGGATGATTTATGGGACCTTAGACCGCTGCTGAGGGGGCGAGGCGCCTGAAGGAAAAAAATTCACGGAGTTCAGACTTTGTTTTCCTTTAATGGACTCCCAAGTAGGGTTGCACAGATACCAAGTACAGTACTCAGTACAAGTACGAGTAAAAGTACCGATACTTTTGAGCTCCAAGACTAGAGAAAAATTAAAAAGTTAGGAGGCAGCTGTCATTAGTAAGGAGCACACGGAGCTCCTGGGATGTGTACATCTCTGTTTTAATGTACGATTTTGTTTTTATAAATAAAGGGATGCACCAATACCAGTTTTGCGAGTACGAGTACTGGTACTTGTCCAAGTGCTCACAGATACAAGTACTGATAAATTTGTGTTTATAGTCATGTGACGGTTTTTCTAAAACAATACAGACTAAGGATTTCAGGACAGTGGTGGAGCGCCAGAGCCCGGCCCCAGCTGCAACCCTCATAGTTCTCATGAAAATGCCAAGTATCCGCACTGGTATCTGAACTGGTATCTGTGCATCCCTACTCCCAAGTAAATAATTTTCCAGCGGCGAGTACTGCAAGCAGCTTTATCATTACCCTCGGACTCTTTTCAGGGGCCTTTGTCGCCGGCCTGGATGCCGGCCTCGTTTACAACTCCTTTCCAAAGATGGCGGACCGCTGGATTCCAGATGACCTCCTGGCCTTTTCCCCGGCCTTGAAAAACATCTTTGAGAATCCCACAACTGTACAGTTCAATCATCGCATCCTTGTGAGTAAAAAGAATCCTGGCAGCATTTGTGTGGGAAGTGTAACCATGTGACCTGTCATTGCCTTGTGTCTGAAGGAGCTTTGTTCCTCTTGTAGGGGACCACTGCTGTAGCCGCCATTACTGGGTTGTATTTTTATTCCCGGAAGATCCCACTTCCAAGGAGGGCCAGGCTGGCTGTGAACAGTCTCCTTGTTATGGCCTATTTACAGGTAAGTGCTATTTGTTATGCTACATGAATAATAAAGATACACAACCCAACCACGAGCAAACCCGCCCTCCTTTTTCTGCGTGCTCTGAGCAGTTCCAATGGCCGCCCATATTCTGCTGGATTGAATGGATGCATCTCAGTGACGTATGCATGGTGACACTTTATTATTATGATACAGGATTTATATAGCGCCAAGAGTTTGCGCAGCGCTTTACAATATAAGGAAGACATTAGTCACAATACAATTCAAGACAAGATGGTAAGGAGGGCCCTGCCCCTGAGGGCTTACAGTCTAAGAGGGAGTGGCCAGTGATAACTGAGGAGGTAGCTATGTGGGGATGAATTGTTTGAGAACGTGATGGGTGAGTGGTTAGGTTGAGGTTTCATTGAAATGGTCTCTTTAGCAGCTACTGTAGAATATACATTCATTATATTTCTATAGCACGTTTCTTCCCGGGGACTATCCAATTGGTGTCGGGGCAGACAGGTGAGGCAGCCATCCTGGGAGCGTGCAGTAGAATATCATACTAGGGCCAATTTTAGACAGAAGACAATCCGCCTATCGGCATGCCTTTTGGAGTGTGGGAAGAAATTGGAGTATCCACAGGAAACCCATGCAGGCACAGGGAGAACATGCAAACTCCATGCAGATAGTGTCCTGACCGGGACTGGAACAAAGGGCCCTAGTGATGCAAAGCACTCAGCATTGTGTAACCTGTGCACTGTACAGACAGTCATAGATGCCGCGTACAATAGTGATCGTCACTTCAGTTTATTGTTATAAATGTGTATAAAAAGCCCGGTATTTGGACTCTCTTGTCAGTTCCAGATGGCTTGGTATGAGACTGTTGACCAGTTAAGACTTCATTCCTATTTGTTTTCTACCCCTCATATGCAATGGGGAGGGGTGGGGGGTATTCTGGGGATAAGGACAGGCTTGGCTGTGTTGGTTTTTGGCCTTTCATGCTTTTCTTTCTGTCATTTCAGGTGACGCTGGGAATAAGCACTTTACTTCTGTACGTCCCAACTTCACTGGCAGCCACCCACCAGTCCGGCTCTCTAGCCCTCCTCACTATGGCAATCTGGCTTATGAATGAACTGAGGCGTATGCCAAAATAACGGCTTCTAACCAATCTGATGTGTTGTGCCGGCGTGAGGGGAGGAGGGATATTTAAAGCAGAACTCCAGAAGTTCTACATGCAGTGGGGCTACCCTGGCACTGCAAGGGTTAAGTGTTTGTTTTGGTCTAGGGCAGTGGTGGCGAACCTTGGCACTCCAGCTGTGCCAAAACTACAAATCCCAACATGCATCTGCCTCTGGGAGTTATGTCTGTGACTGTCAGAGCCTTGCAATGCCTCATGGGATTTGTAGTTCCAAAACAGCTGGAGTGCCGAGGTTTGCCACTACTGGTCTAGGGGCTCAAATAGAGAAGATATTCTGCCATGATCATTGGTCCTGGGCAGTCCGTGCTTTCCCATCCGCTCTGTCTGTGGTGTGTCCCTCGGCGTCCTCACATCTAATGCTAGTCAATGGACCTGCACTAGATGTGATGATAACCACAGTCCACTGGAGCCCGGGGAGAAGAGGTTGTTGGCACCAGTCTGGCAGCCAGACAAGACTGAGGATTAGGGGAGTATTTGAGCCCCCTAGATAAAATGAGCACCGAGCCCTTGTCATGAAGGGGGTAGCCCCAGTGCGAGGGTTGGTTTTGTAATTCCGGGAGTCCGGGATATCTTTTTAATTTTATGGCAAAAGAGCTGAAAAAAGACATGAAAGAAAAAAAAAAAAGAAAAGCTGTAAATATTTTTGTATTTTGTGTCCCAAAATATACCGTAGTATGAATTTATTCCCGGGCGCTTCATTATTGAATGACATATTTCCATGTATACAGAGAAGCCTTCAAACATTTCTCAATCTGCAAACCAAATAAATACTAAAATACTCAAAAATAAGGACTTTGTAGTAACATTTGGCATGCTTCTGTTTTTTTATTATTATTGCTAAATTCATCATGATCGATATGAAGAAATCTGGGTGGTTTCCTGCTCTATACCTCCTTGAATATGAGCTCCCCCATTGGTCAATTGTCACAACCCCTATATTGCCCCACAGAGGAGTGAACTCGCCCCAGTGGTCAATTGTCACAACCCCTCTATTGCCCCACAGAGGAGTGAGCTCCCCCCAGTGGTCAGGTGTAACAACTCTATTGCCCCACAGAGGAGTGAGCTCGCCCCAGTGGTCAGGTGTAACAACTCTATTGCCCCACAGAGGAGTGAGCTCGCCCCAGTGGTCAGGTGTCACAACTCCTCTATTGCCACAGAGGTGTGAGCTCGCCCCAGTGGTCAGGTGTCACAACCCCTATATTGCCCCACAGAGGAGTGAGCTCGCCCCAGTGGTCAGGTGTCACAACTCCTCTATTGCCACAGAGGTGTGAGCTCGCCCCAGTGGTCAGGTGTCACAACCCCTATATTGCCCCACAGAGGAGTGAGCTCGCCCCAGTGGTCAGGTGTCACAACTCCTCTATTGCCACAGAGGTGTGAGCTCGCCCCAGTGGTCAGGTGTCACAACCCCTATATTGCCCCACAGAGGAGTGAGCTCGCCCCAGTGGTCAGGTGTCACAACTCCTCTATTGCCACAGAGGTGTGAGCTCGCCCCAGTGGTCAGGTGTCACAACCCCTATATTGCCCCACAGAGGAGTGAGCTCGCCCCAGTGGTCAGGTGTCACAACTCCTCTATTGCCCCACAGAGGAGTGAGCTCCCCCCAGTGGTCAGGTGTCACAACTCCTCTATTGCCCCACAGAGGAGTGAGCTCCCCCCAGTGGTCAGGTGTCACAACTCCTCTATTGCCCCACAGAGGAGTGAGCTCCCCCCAGTGGTCAGGTGTCACAACTCCTCTATTGCCCCACAGAGGAGTGAGCTCCCCCCAGTGGTCAGGTGTCACAACTCCTCTATTGCCCCACAGAGGAGTGAGCTCCCCCCAGTGGTCAGGTGTCACAACTCCTCTTTTGCCCCACAGAGCATTGAACTCCCCCCCAGTGGTCGTGTCACAACCTCTGCACTGGCCCACAGAGGAGCAAAGCACCCTCCCCATGTTGAGGGCATGTGGCCTGGTATGGTATGGCCCCCCTTGCTGCTCTGCTTGGATGAAGGGTCTGGTAAGGGATCTTAGGAGGGACCCCCCACACGCTTTTTTTGTTTTTGGTGTTGGTCATCCCTAAACTCCCTACCAGACTGAAAGGAAGGGTCTAGTATGAATGGGGGCGGGGGGGGCGGGTATTTTAACATTAACAACATCAGTTCTGAAACCATTTCAGATGAATCCAAATTTTCTTCTGCTTGGATTTTTCTATTTCTTTCGGGGAATTTGGATGCTTCTGAATATATTACCCGATATTCACCCGGATTTCATTTAGAAATAAAACATGTCTGGTAAATTCTGATCAGCCTGAGTCGGACCTTTGCAGTGCGTCACATTTGTCTGGACTGGTTTTATTCATCTTGAAGATGTATCACCGATCGTCTTCATTCACCATGCGAGAAATCAAAGTTCAAATACAAAACCAGAAACAAGCAATGAGATATCCGGCCATGATACTGCCCGGGGACTCCGTCCTACATGTGTCACCCTGCAGGTGGGTGATGGAGAGCACAGGCCTGTTATCCACATGGTTTTATTTTTCAGCTGTTGTGGAACTACATTTCCCACGAGGCATTGCAAGACTCTGACAGCCGCAGGCATTATGGGATTTGTAGTTTCACCACAGCTGGCTGGCCAGTGTGTGCCCACCCCAAATGCTGTGTGATCTTTGTACCAAGGGGCTTTTTTTTCAGGCATGCACTTTGGCCTTTTGAATCTTTGGTGTAATGTAATGCAAGTTGGAGTTTTTGCAGGCGTCTGATATATCATGCAGCTCTTCCTGTGTCAAAGTGCGCACTTCTGAACAGCTGGCCGCGTCTGATTCTTGGATTCTCCTTTCGTTGCAGACTACTATGACACGGGGGTCCTGCTATACTGCTCCCTCTTACAATGTAAGGGCGGCCGCCCACGTACTGATATGATCATTCAATGCAACTCAACCCATCGAATGATCCCGAACAATAATCATAATCAAACTGAATTAAAATTGCAAAGCAAAGAGCCTCCGTTCTATCGGCTTGGCAAGATCTAAAGTCGATTGACTATGGCAGAATTTTATTGATTGCGTCTGATTGATCAAACAAATGTCTGTCGTGTGCCGGAGAACCAATCATAATCCAGATCAGTTAAATGATCATTTTAAATTGATGAATAAATTGGACCTTGCAGTAAACAAGGTTTGCTTACACTGTGACCCCCCCCCCCCTTCACAAATCATTTACTCTTAGTATTTGTGAAATGTACTAATAAGAGATAAGTTAGGGTTTATACGTGCCCCACACCCGTCTTACACCCATGGCGCCTAGGCAAGGACGATGCCACCTTCCTTTCGGCTAGATACTCGGGAATACACAACCGCTGAAATCTCACAAAAAAAGATGCTCTTCCAATGGACTAGGCAGTGGTAGGCAACCATGGCACTCCAGCTGTGGTGGAACTACAAATCCCATGAGGCATTGCAAGACTCTGGTAGCCACAGGCATGACTCCTAGAGGCAGAGGCATTATGGGACTTGTAGTGTCACCAAGGCTGGAGTGGCAAGGTACTGATCACAGAGCACCATGTGTGTGGTCACCTATGAGTTGGCTGACCCATTGTAAACACTGCACTCCATGTGTAGCTGATATCTCACCAGCTGTTTATATAGCGAGGCAACGATCTACAAATGTCTCTATAATGTCATAAGAACAATATGGAAAGACGAGCTGTAACCATGGAGAAATCAGTGCAATAATAATGTATACACTGATTACAGATCCATCTACTTCCCCTTCCCAGTGTACTCAATGTATCTCCATGGTCCTGTACTGTGCTGTCATCCCCAGCGCTGACTGACACACGGCTGAACCAATAGGGCTGTAGGAAGAAAGCCAGCAGCGAATGAGAGGTGAGAGCGCTGCAGGAAGGGGGCGGGGCCAGTGCTGGATGAGGGATACATTGTAACCTGTCCGGTCCATAGCGGAGCTCCATCACCAGCAAGATGACGGCGCACTCCTTCACCGTCCCCATGATCGTCTTCACCACCTTCTGGGGGCTCATCGGCATCGCCGCCCCATGGTTCGTCCCCAAAGGCCCCAACCGAGGGTAAGAGCCGCCATGGGCGCCGGGGGCTGTGTGCAATGGAGGCTGTGTGAGGTCTATGGGAGGCCATCACCTGACCTCCGGAGGACAGCGCCTGCTCCCATTTATAGGGCATCGGTGCTGGTTTCCATGATACAGGCAATCTGTACAGACACCGATATCATCTATATACAGGCAGTCTGTACAGACACCGATATCATCTATATACAGGCAGTCTGTACAGACACCGATATTATCTATATACAGGCAGTCTGTACAGACACCGATATCATCTATATACAGCCTGCATGTACAGACACCGATATCATCTATATACAGGCAGTCTGTACAGACACCGATATCATCTATATACAGGCAGTCTGTACAGACACTGAGATCATCTATATACAGCCTGCATGTACAGACACTGAGATCATCTATATACAGCCTGCATTTACAGACACCGATATCATCTATATACAGGCAGTCTGTACAGACACCGATATCATCTATATACAGGCAGTCTGTACAGACACTGATATGTATATACATTGTGGATGTACAGACATCGATATGTACCAGTAGACACAGCTTTATTTTCTCTCTCTCTCAATGCCTGCTACCCCCCATAGCAGCCAATCACATGAATGGGCCTTGTATTAAAGAATGGTACCATGGAATGAACAGGGTAGCATGTGAGGGGGAACGTGAAGAGCAGGAGAGATGGTGTCAGCCTGCAGGGACATACTGTAGTAAGGGAATTACGGGGGACTCCCTCCGGCCAGCACAGTGACAGGGAGCACTCCAGTACCAGACTTCACCAACTGCTGTCCCCCTGAAGGCACTGCTTAATGTAATGGTACTGTACTGTGTACCGGTAAATGGTACCGTACTTTACAGCGCTGTCCACTGTCTGATGTCCCCCACTGCTGCACTGCTGGTACCACTGTCCCTGATGGCAAAGCATGCCGGCCCTGCAGAATGCTGCGGCGACGGAGGGAGCAGTGCCGCATTAGCCGATATTCCTCTATAGCGCCAGTTACTGTGGCAGGCGGAGTGATACCAGATAACTTTAAATTGTTGTACATTTTGTTGCACAGTAAAAAAAGAAAAATAAGACATCCCCTGAAAATAAGACCTAGTGTGTTTTTTGGGGGCAAAACAAATATAAGACAGTGTCTTATTTTCGGGGGAAACACGGTAGGTGAAGTCTGGTTGATTGGACCAAGGCTTTCATTGTCATTTCTGTGGGCTGTATATGAGGATTTCCGAGACAAATGTGGCAGAAATAAAGTTCCCGGTGACCCGGCAATGACTTCCAGTAACGTCCCCTCATCTTTTCTCAGGGTCATCATAACAATGCTGGTGACCACAGCCGTCTGCTGCTATCTCTTGTAAGTATCTTCTTCATTCACGTGCCATTTGCTTATTTGACCTGTACTTGAAATCTTCCACTGTGCCCCCCCCCCCCTTCACAAATCATTTACTCTTAGTATTTGTGAAATGTACTAATAAGAGATAAGTTAGGGTTTATACGTGCCCCACACCCGTCTTACACCCATGGCGCCTAGGCAAGGACGATGCCACCTTCCTTTCGGCTAGATACTCGGGAATACACAACCGCTGAAATCTCACAAAAAAAGATGCTCTTCCAATGGACTAGGCAGTGGTAGGCAACCATGGCACTCCAGCTGTGGTGGAACTACAAATCCCATGAGGCATTGCAAGACTCTGGTAGCCACAGGCATGACTCCTAGAGGCAGAGGCATTATGGGACTTGTAGTGTCACCAAGGCTGGAGTGGCAAGGTACTGATCACAGAGCACCATGTGTGTGGTCACCTATGAGTTGGCTGACCCATTGTAAACACTGCACTCCATGTGTAGCTGATATCTCACCAGCTGTTTATATAGCGAGGCAACGATCTACAAATGTCTCTATAATGTCATAAGAACAATATGGAAAGACGAGCTGTAACCATGGAGAAATCAGTGCAATAATAATGTATACACTGATTACAGATCCATCTACTTCCCCTTCCCAGTGTACTCAATGTATCTCCATGGTCCTGTACTGTGCTGTCATCCCCAGCGCTGACTGACACACGGCTGAACCAATAGGGCTGTAGGAAGAAAGCCAGCAGCGAATGAGAGGTGAGAGCGCTGCAGGAAGGGGGCGGGGCCAGTGCTGGATGAGGGATACATTGTAACCTGTCCGGTCCATAGCGGAGCTCCATCACCAGCAAGATGACGGCGCACTCCTTCACCGTCCCCATGATCGTCTTCACCACCTTCTGGGGGCTCATCGGCATCGCCGCCCCATGGTTCGTCCCCAAAGGCCCCAACCGAGGGTAAGAGCCGCCATGGGCGCCGGGGGCTGTGTGCAATGGAGGCTGTGTGAGGTCTATGGGAGGCCATCACCTGACCTCCGGAGGACAGCGCCTGCTCCCATTTATAGGGCATCGGTGCTGGTTTCCATGATACAGGCAATCTGTACAGACACCGATATCATCTATATACAGGCAGTCTGTACAGACACTGATATCATCTATATACAGGCAGTCTGTACAGACACCGATATCATCTATATACAGGCAGTCTGTACAGACACTGATATCATCTATATACAGGCAGTCTGTACAGACACCGATATCATCTATATACAGGCAGTCTGTACAGACACCGATATCATCTATATACAGGCAGTCTGTACAGACACCGATATCATCTATATACAGGCAGTCTGTACAGACACCGATATCATCTATATACAGGCAGTCTGTACAGACACCGATATCATCTATATACAGGCAGTCTGTACAGACACCGATATCATCTATATACAGGCAGTCTGTACAGACACTGAGATCGTCTATATACAGCCTGCATGTACAGACACTGAGATCATCTATATACAGCCTGCATTTACAGACACCGATATCATCTATATACAGGCAGTCTGTACAGACACTGAGATCATCTATATACAGCCTGCATGTACAGACACTGAGATCATCTATATACAGCCTGCATTTACAGACACCGATATCATCTATATACAGGCAGTCTGTACAGACACCGATATCATCTATATACAGGCAGTCTGTACAGACACTGATATGTATATACATTGTGGATGTACAGACATCGATATGTACCAGTAGACACAGCTTTATTTTCTCTCTCTCTCAATGCCTGCTACCCCCCATAGCAGCCAATCACATGAATGGGCCTTGTATTAAAGAATGGTACCATGGAATGAACAGGGTAGCATGTGAGGGGGAACGTGAAGAGCAGGAGAGATGGTGTCAGCCTGCAGGGACATACTGTAGTAAGGGAATTACGGGGGACTCCCTCCGGCCAGCACAGTGACAGGGAGCACTCCAGTACCAGACTTCACCAACTGCTGTCCCCCTGAAGGCACTGCTTAATGTAATGGTACTGTACTGTGTACCGGTAAATGGTACCGTACTTTACAGCGCTGTCCACTGTCTGATGTCCCCCACTGCTGCACTGCTGGTACCACTGTCCCTGATGGCAAAGCATGCCGGCCCTGCAGAATGCTGCGGCGACGGAGGGAGCAGTGCCGCATTAGCCGATATTCCTCTATAGCGCCAGTTACTGTGGCAGGCGGAGTGATACCAGATAACTTTAAATTGTTGTACATTTTGTTGCACAGTAAAAAAAGAAAAATAAGACATCCCCTGAAAATAAGACCTAGTGTGTTTTTTGGGGGCAAAACAAATATAAGACAGTGTCTTATTTTCGGGGGAAACACGGTAGGTGAAGTCTGGTTGATTGGACCAAGGCTTTCATTGTCATTTCTGTGGGCTGTATATGAGGATTTCCGAGACAAATGTGGCAGAAATAAAGTTCCCGGTGACCCGGCAATGACTTCCAGTAACGTCCCCTCATCTTTTCTCAGGGTCATCATAACAATGCTGGTGACCACAGCCGTCTGCTGCTATCTCTTGTAAGTATCTTCTTCATTCACGTGCCATTTGCTTATTTGACCTGTACTTGAAAACACCCATCAGTGGCCCTTCTCCCACTGACCGCCAATGTAAGGGGGCCCTTCTCCCACTGACCACCAATGTAAGGGGGCCCTTCTCCCACTGACCGCCAATGTAAGGGGGCCCTTCTCCCACTGACCGCCAATGTAAGGGGGCCCTTCTCCCACTGACCGCCAATGTAAGGGGGCCCTTCTCCCACTGACCGCCAATGTAAGGGGTAGAAGGTTGAGAACAAGGCTGATCCAGTGCAGCATTTCTCAACCTTTTTTTAGTCATGGCACCCTTTAAATGTATGGAAAGTCTGGAGGCACCCCACCCTATCAGAAGCCCCCTTTTATATCGGTGTCCCACCATTGTATCGGAAACCACAGCCGCAGTAACATGGCAGAGAGCAGGAGGCAGAGCAGACCTGGACAGGCGAGCTTCCATCCTTTACTTACTTGATCCCACGCTCCCTGGATTAACATCATTCGGTTACATGTTGCTGGCGGCCAGCCCCAGGCACCCCTCTAGAGGCCAGAAGGCACCCCAGGGTTCCATGGATGTAGGGTGAAGACAGAACTGTATATATTGTAACATTTTTACTGATTAAAAACCAGCGGGCTTAATAAGAAAAATAATGTTGTGTTAGATTATATAAAAGCACGATAGAACACATGTATACAGATCTACACTTCAAGGTCTACCTATAAACAGTTGGCAGAGCCATTCGCCCTACGAATCTCCGTATACGTTTGTTCTGTGTGAATAGAGGCAAAAACAAACATTTTGAGCATATTTTCTTTTCAGGTGAAATGGTAATACCGCATTTCGGCCACTAGATGGAGCTGAAGTGCAAAAGGAAACAAGTATTTCCAATGTATGCTTTTTTTGGACCTAAACATGACAAATAGAAGATAACAGGATGTAAACGGATGCTCGTCTGGTTGCATCCACCTTACCATAGACCTCACTTGGGTCTGCTGAAGAGACACTGATGTCACAAAAGTTCTGTCCTGCTCCGATTCAACAGGGGACCTGTTCTTGGATCCACTGCTGATCAGAATAGATGCCGCCCGCCCGTGTAAAAGGGGCTTAAAACCAGATGTTCTCTTTACTGTTTACTTTGTGTTTGGAGTAAGTGGTAACAATGATGACCTTTCACCTTGTTTTCCCAGCTGGCTGGTCACCATCTTATCGCAGTTAAATCCATTGTTTGGACCACAGCTGAAGAATGACACCATCTGGTACATACGATTCGTCTGGGAATAAAGATGTTGGATGTCCAGTTAGTGACGGTACGTATTCCACCACATGTGCCCCCTTCTTCCTTGTATAAAACCATTTCCTTAGTGGATCATAGAAACACTGATGTGTTAAAGCAGCGGTCGCCAACCAATAGTTCGTGGACCACTGGTGGTCCGTGAGAAAATTTTGGTGGTCCGCAGACTAAATCTGAACATTAATTGCATTTTTTATGTTTCAATAATAATGAAACAAAAATAATATTCTAAGAAATTCTTATATTCTGAATGACAATTGTCGCCTTTATATTGCACTGAATTCACGAACTGTACGAGAGAGGGGGAAACGAGAGCCGCAGCTTGACGTCAGGGTAGTCAATTCACACTGAGCGACATGAAAATCGCGCGATTTTGAGCGATATTGCGCGACGAGCTATATTGAGCGACGTGTCGCACGACTTTTTCATATTGGGCTGTATGCAATCAGGAGCAATATCGCTCGAAATCGCTCGAAAAAAGGGTCATGTAGGAGCGACAAGCTACCAACGACGAGCTACAAGCGATATTGAGCGACGAGATGTGAACAGCTCAATTGAAATGTATTGGAGAAGCTACATAGAGCGATATCGTGTGGAAATATGAGCGATATCGCTGCAAAAATCGCTCGATAAATCGCTCAGTGTGAATGGGGCTTTAAAGGAGAACTATGAGGTGAGTGCTTTTCACTCATCCTCATAGTTCTAGCCGCCCTGTGACAATGAGACTGTCACAGGTCGGCTCAGTAGAGCGTGAAGTGAGCGAACAAATACCGGCGTTCGCTCACTTCTCCATCTTGTCACGGCAGAGAGCCATGACAGGGGTGGGACTGGATTCCCCCCTCCCCGCTTCGATCCTCCAGCGCTGACTGGCAGAACGGACGGGAGAGGGGGCGGGTGCAGCTGGCTCTGCCTCTAGATAGGCAGAGCCAGCTGACAGTCACGCAGCTGGGCGGATCCCGGCATAATTGTCAGGATCCGCTTCAGCTGCGGCGTCTCAGTATACCGCGAGCTGTATACTAAGCCCAGGGTGACGGGAGGACGCTAGTTTGTGTCCTCCCGTTACCCTAAGGAGTAAAAAGCGTTTTAACCCCATAGTTCTCCTTTAAGTTGTATGAGGCAACTGTTTGCCGAGCCGTACGCTTCAGTATTGTTTCGACCAGGGGCGGACTGGGCCTCTGATGCCGTGCAGGCTGGGCTGTCATTAAAGCGGCACGGAGGCTCCGGGGCTGCCTTAAGCAGCGGCTGTCACAAGGAATGCGCGGCTCTCAGTAAGGCAGCACAGGCAGCCAGTGATCTGAGAAGCGGCGTGTTCCTTATCATAGCTGTAAATCATTTATCATTTTGTTATATTAAATAGGTGCATTTCAAGTGCAATGGAAGTTCTCTGATCATTATTTTACAAATTATCTTTTTTTAAAATTCATATTAGTGGTCCGCAGGATTTAAAATGATTCATTTAGTGGTCCATGAGGTCCGAAAGGTTGGCGACCACTGTGTTAAAGGAGATGTCCACTTCTACATTTCCCCATGAGCGTTTCTAGCTCAGACAAGCACTTATTGAGTATTCCAGACTTCCCAAAGCTGGTCCACCAAGGACAACAGCTAGACATAAATGTTTGTTAAAGTTCCCATGGCCACACCGTCTACTTCCCCTCAGGGAAGCATTCTGTTTGTTGTAGGATTTTAAAGCATTAGGAAGTGGATTGTGGAGTCAGGTTTGTTTAATCACCACAGTGGTTGTAGCTGGAAGTCCAGCAGAACTAACCCAACAACAAAACTCTGTTTCTTTTTGCCGTTTGAAGAATATGTACTAACAAACCGACATCTTGATGGTTTCAGGTGTTCCATGGACCAGTAGAACGTGTTGCCCTTCCCTTCCCCCTTCACACTGCAATGTTACTTCAGATACAATTCTACAGATTCCTACCGGCCCGAAAGCAGAAACCAAATTCCTCTCCATCTTTATGTCAACGTATGACTTCCGGGTGATCAGCCTCTTGTGAAATGTAAAGCGCAACTCTCGTCCTAAACAGAAATTGTTGTTTATTTTATATACTTCTATCTCCCTATCATCCGTTTCATTTTTTGGCAGCCTGAAAGGACCCCTGTCATGAGAAAAAGAAGTCAGCTGCCACTGCTGACCTTCTTCTGAAAATGCCCGTTGCATGTTGACAGGTCAATGACTCTGAATTTACTGATGCCAACAGACCTCCTATTTTTCATGACAGCTTTCCTTTTAAAAGGTCCGCTCCATGTGTCTTCAGAATAAAAATTCAGCCCCCCAAAGGGGTCCTTGTGAAGATCTCTTTACCTGATGTGTTGCTCAGGGGAAGTGTATACAAGGGGAGAACAAGAGCCTCCATCTTCCCCTTGTAGTCTTTGAAGGGCATGAAAGCTTCCATCGTTACCCCTGACTGCTTTATTTATCATAATTCCTAAATCCTTGCCCACGTATGTCAGAGAGACTGTGACTCATGTTAGAGTTAAGACAAAAAAAATCTTGTATAAATGATCTAGTGATCCATGTACAGAGTGATTGCATTGAGGGGGATGTCAGACAGATGCCTAAACTCCTCATTTCTGGGTTAAAAGTCACACCACTTATTCTTGCCTACGAGCTCCAGTGTTGACCCGGGCTTCTAGGTGAATTTCCTTGTCATAGAAGGAAGTTACAGAGATCCTTTCCATACCCACCCAGATGACATCACCCCAATACTATAACTGCATGTATACAAGGTTAGTATGATGGCTGACCAGTACACACCCAGATGACATCACCCCAATACTATAACTACATGTATACAAGGTTAGTATGATGGCTGACCAGTACAGACCCAGATGATATCACCCCAATACTATAACTACATGTATACAAGGGTAGTATGATGGCTGACCAGTACACACCCAGATGATATCACCCCAATACTATAGCTAGCTACATGTATATAAGGTTAGTATGGCAGCTGACCTGTACACACCCCAATACTATAGCTAGCTACATGTATATAAGGTTAGTATGGCAGCTGACCTGTACACACCCCGATACTATAGCTAGCTACATGTATATAAGGTTAGTATGATGGCTGACCAGTACACACCTAGACATCACCCCAATACTATAGCTACATGTATATAAGGTTAGTATGATGGCTGACCAGTACACACCTAGACATCACCCCAATACTATAGCTACATGTATATAAGGTTAGGATGGTGGCTGACCAGTACACACCCCGATACGATTATACAAGACTAGGAGTGTGGCAGGCGATGTATTCATCATCTTATAGCAGTGCTGAGTTGAGCCTGGATGTATGCAATCAGCAGCCTAGGATCAGGACTCACAGTGACAATATAGTGACTTGTGTGATTGTTGAGATAAAAAAAAAATAAGGAATTTATTTATTAAAATAAATGTATTGTTAATGTGAAATGACGTCTTATATTAAATCCGGAGTATATGGAAGTTTCTAGTTTGCCTAAAGGTTTAAGTAGTCCACTTTTGACATTTAAAATATGAAAATTGTACTGGATGTAGAATGGGGCAGTCCAGCATTTTTACCTCTTGTAGACCGGCCTCAAAGTGTGAAACCAGAACAATCAGTGCTATCCCTGCAACCAAACATATCTCCTTCCATACCCCATCATTCTCCAGGCAGTGCCAGAGGCTGGTGGCTATGCACACAGACAGTACTTATTTCAGGCACCTTGATAAATGAAGTGTGTTGTTTGGAGACATTACATAAGACGCAGACAAGAATACTGGAAACCAGAATGTTGCTTTACTGGGAGAGAATACAATATGAACACAGACACAATGATACACATACACAGGATCAGACGAGAGAACTGGTCACAGCATGTACGATGATCAGATGTGGGATGACAACTCTGTACCCATCAACGTGGCCTCATGTACTACTGTCTGTATACTCGCAGCATGTATGATAGTCACATGTGGGATGACAGCTCCATGTACATCCTCATGTACTACTGTCTGTATACTCACAGCATGTATGATAGTCACATGTGGGATGACAGCTCCATGTACTTCCTCATGTACTACTGTCTGTATACTCGCAGCATGTATGATAGTCACATGTGGGATGACAGCTCCATGTACTTCCTCATGTACTACTGTCTGTATACTCACAGCATGTATGATAGTCACATGTGGGATGAACTGTCTGTATACTCACAGCATGTATGATAGTCACATGTGGTATGACAGCTCCATGGCCTCATGTACTGTATGCTCACAGCAGCCAAGGAAAAGACAGAAATGGATTTGCTGCCCCAGCCATCATAGTTGCTTCTACTTTCAGACATTTTATACATCAGACCTGGCAGTACAGCATAGGGAAGAGAACACACATACATGACAGCTCATCTTTAACACTTCGCTACATGACAAGTCCACGGTCCAGTCTACACATGATTAACTGCTCACTGGAAGAACTGAACGCATGACTGACTCTTCTCGCACTGTTATTCCTTCACACAATAGGATTGAGGTAAGCAGATTTATTTCCCTGTGAATGGCAGTGACCCGCTAGGCCTGATGGATGGGTAAAGCTTTAGGCTCATACACACAGACAACTCTGTGCACATTCCTAGGGGCACCCAGTGATAGAAGATGCTGGCTGAACAATACAAGCTTTAGGAGTGTGAAATAAAACATGGACATTCGTAAAGTCCAGGCATACCGATTTATGCCGATTCAGACAGGGCGAGGGGGGCAACTGTTTACCAGCCCAGAGAAGCGATCGGGCGACAGCTGAGTCGCCTGATCGCTTCTATTGTTAAGCCGACAGTCCGCTTTACAATTGTAAACAGAGTTTAAACGGCCCGGTGGCAGTGGAGTACTATGGACGTCACTGGTCCAAAAGGGGATAAAGGACCCGAAAATGAAAAATTTGGATTGATGCGAATTCCAAATAACGGAAAAAAAACAAAAACAAAAAAATCCAAAATCAATCAAAAACAAAACATATTTTGTAATGTAAAGGCTCCAAAAATCTGTTTATTTTTCCTTGACATAAATATAAAGCGCCAAGCCCCTTTTTATAGCCTTTTATTAAAATAGACTGAAGGACAGCCTCTAATTTAAACAAAAAACACGAATAAAATTCCCAACATTACGTTGCGATAACTGGCGTATTTTCCCAGTTTTTACCTGCAGCAGAACCTCTCGTGTGTACTACTAAGCACTTTATAACATAGAGGAGGCACTTCCTGTAACCATAGTAAGTGGATGATGATAAGGTGGCTTTTGTATGAAATGACCCTCTGGAGGAGGTTCTACTGGGCAAATAATATCCGACAAGGGAGCTGACTGTACAGGAAGTGATTGAGATCTACCTCAAGTGGATATAATGTTGAAAACAATATGGAGTGACATGGTGCATTGCATACAGTACATGGAGTAGACAGAGATCTGATTTGGAGTGGATGCTAATGGGATGAACCATCCGCTGGGCTCTTCCATCTCAGGCATTGCCCTGAACCAATAAAAGGGGGCAGCCTGGTGTCCTCCGTAATGCAGATAGTACAGGAGATCCGGCAAGAATAAAGAGAACCCTTGTAATGGCAGTGGTAGGAGAAAAGATCAGGGAACTCAACATTGGAATCACCAACAATAAAATGAGGTCAGTAGAAGACTCGCACACAAAACTGAACTCTACCTGAAAAAAGAGGAACCAAAGAGAGAGACGGAGGAAAATGGTAAGAGCCTCTACATCCGGCATGTCAAACTCAGATGAACCAGTGGGCTAGACATGAGATCTACTGAGGGCCACATCAATGTAGTTTTAGATTTAAAAATGAAATTTAAAAAAAAAAAAAAAAGTTTAGTATTTATAGTATAGTAAAATGTTTTGGGGCATACAGGACCAGTCACATCATTTACCTTTAATAAAGAGTATCCTGTGTCTGGCTGGCTGCTGGTTATGTTAAAAATCCTACGTGAAGCTTCCGGCCTTTGGGGGGGCGGGGGGGTCTAGAGCAGCGGCTGTGACTATAAAAGACTCCCATTGTTTTGCTAAATTAAAATACAAAATGAATTGCAGCCACCCCCTCACATGCAGGGCCCTCCTAACCATCTTGTCTAGAAGTGTTTTGGAACGTCTCCCTTTAGATTGTAAAGTGCTGTGCAAACTGCTGGCGCTGTAAAGTATAACAAGAATAATAATACTCACAGCTCACAGATGTGAGTATTTAGGGTGGCTAATATTCCATTTTTAAACCAGTCAAGTCAACAAGGGCCACTAAGGAGGAGCATGAGGGTCACATTCAGACCAGAAAACACCAGTTTGACATGCCTGCTTTACAGAACTTGGATGGACCCAGTTTATGGGTCAAAGAACATTCTTTATGCCAAATAGTGAAATGAATTGGCCTAAAGTCAAAGTGTAGAAGGTAACCGCTGCATCCGTGTCTTAGATCCACAAATCTGTAGCTTTAAATTCTTGGACCTGACCCACTTCTGGCCTCTTCTACTATCTATAGACAAATGCCGATGGAATGACAGGGGACGACTCAGCTGCTATTGGTGGCCAGAGATGCCTCAGATCCGAGGAATGGGGCATGGCAGGTCATTTTTACCCACACGCACTTTCAAATATTTATTTAATGCCTTCTCAGGCTGGGATCACACCTTTCCGTGGTATCAATTCTAATATTATTATTATACAGGATTTATATAGCGCAAACAGTTTGTGCAGCGCTGTACAATATAAGGAAGACATTACAATTACAATACAAGATGGTAAGGAGGGTATATGTATATATATATATATTTGGTCTCTTTTTTATTAATACCTTTTTCTGTATATTTTCTGCACCGTTTCTTTTATTAAAGGACGATCTTAAAAATCGTTAAGCTTATCTCTACGCTCTAAATATGAACTTAAAGTATCCTTGCCTCTGTGAAGAGTGCCACTGTATAGTGAATCCTGTCATAAGCATTAAGTGTTTTAAATTGGCGCAGCACTTGCTGGGAACGGTCTGTGTTTCTGTTAAAAAAAAACCACATAGTGGCAGCAAACGTTTGGTGTGTAAAGGGTTAACTGCGGAGTTACCCAACCCTGGTGACTATCGCTCTTTGTCTGCTGGCCTGAGAATGTGTCCTGCGGGCTGGGAAATCTCTGTGCAGGGTGAGGCTGAGAGTGGTATCGCCACGCCCTTGTGACGCCCACGCTCGGTTAAGAACGGCGGTGTATAATCATGTGTGATTGACGTACAGCGGGCTTGGGCTGGGTGTAAAATCACATATTGGTATAATTGAGCTGGAAAGCACAAAAACATCCAAGAAAATAGAAATGTACCATTTTTGTCTTCGTGTGTTGGGTGCTATTCAAAGTAATGGCACCGCAGAGCAAATGTAACATGCATTAAAGGTAAATTGCGAGTTACCGCAGTGGAAAAGTGTGTACCCAGTAGGGATGCACCGATACCAAGTAGCGTACTCGGTACGAGTACAAGTACAGATACTTTTCCAGCTCCAAGACTAGACTAGAGAAAAATTCAAAAGTTAGGCAGCAGCTGTCATTTGTAAGGAGCACACGGAGCTCCTGGGATTTGTACATCTCTGTCTTCATGTATGATTTTGTTTTATATAAATATATATTAGGGATGCACCGATACCAGTTTTCCAAGTACGAGTACTGGTACTTGCCCAAGTCCTCACAGATACAAGTACTGATACATTTGTGTTTATTGTCATGTGACAGTTTTTCTAAAACAATGCAGACTAATGATTTCAGGACAGTGGTGGAGCGCCAGGGCCCTGTCCCCCCTGCAACCCTGGGAGTTCTCATGAAAATGCCAAGTATCAGCACTGGTACTCCAAAAGTATCAGTGCATCCTTAGTTCCCAGCCTAAGGCCTGGTTCACACCTGGGCGTTCTTACGCTCTGTAAAACGCTCAACATGTGAAAACCAATGATTGCCTATGGGCATGGTTCCCACCTGGGCGTTTTACAGTGCTCCAAAACGCCCTATGCCCAAAGAAGTACAGGAGCTTCTTTGGGGCGTATTTGCCGCGCGTATCTATTGGGATACAGCCAGGTAGCCCCCAGGAAACGCACTAATGCGTTTCCGAGGGCTACCTAGCTGGTGCGACAAAGTGCGTTTGTCGCACGTTTTTTTTTACCGCGAACCGCGGTAAAAACGTGCGACACGAAACACGCGCCAAACGTGCATATTCGATACGCCTAGGTGTGAACCCAGCCTAAGGCCTAAAAGAGCCGCAAACAATTGTTTGGTGTTGTCACATTTCAGGATGACCCATCAACTGCGGCTCTCGGGTATTATACCACAAGCACAAATAACCAAACCAGAAACCTCCAATTATGCACCTACACTAAACAGGAAGTAGATTTCCAGCTGGTTAATGGAAGGTATTTCTCTCTGGACCAAACAGGGGAATGAGCGATGCACACAATGCAGAAACTCATATCGACCAATAAGACTTCATCTTCACTGACCTGACTACAGAAAACTGGAACCTGCTACTCATGCGTGCTCTTTGCACAGCTTTAGTGTAAAATCCTTCAAAATAAACGTATGAAGGGAAAACTTGCCACGTTGTGCAAAACTCTTCACACTGTTAGGGGGGAAAAAAACAAAACCTCACAGTCTGTAAATAGCTTATCCTGTTTATGGCTACATGGCCTACCATAAGAGGCCTGGACAGTAAATATTAGCACCACTATGCATGATCTGCTACAGCTTTGTCTTCTTCACGTCAAGAGTTTGCATAACAGCAAAACAAGTCGAGTCAGTCCACACAGAACTCAAAACATTTGTTACGGGAGGAAATCGGTAATTTGAACCAGCCACTCGTTTCTTGTATTTCTCAGGTTTCCAGAAGGGAAATCTTCCGGTGAGAGTTTTTTGCCCTGCCCTTATAGAGACTCGCTTTCTTAGCTGATCTTCTGGTGTCATCAGATGAGGTCACACCTCTGTATTTCTTAGCTGATCTTCTGGTGTCATCAGATGAGGTCACACCTCTGTATTTCTTAGCTGATCTTCTGGTGTCATCAGATGAGGTCAGACCTCTCTATTTCTCAGCAGATCTTCTGATGTCATCAGAGTAGGTTAGTCCTCTGTATTTCTTAGCAGAGTTTCTGGTGCCATTGTAAAACATATGAAAACTCCCTTGCAATGGCAGGCAAGCACAATAAATACACAAACGTAGACATCTTGCGGCTTGAGTTTCTGGCAGATAGAAGAAACCCATGGGCAATTCAACCCACTGCTATCTATGCAGAACCGAAATCCTAATTTTGGGTGGACCTCCCCTTTGAGGAGGTTTTCTTTTGATAAAATATAAAGGATCACTCTTACATGGCTATAGAACTACTGGAATTGAATCAAATGTCTGCAGCTGTTTAAGAAGTCATATCCAGCTGTAGAGTGATGTGATAAGATGGTGGAATATAAAGGTTAGCTCTAAAAACAGAGCCTTATACTTGAGCTGCAGCCTCAAGGCAGAAAATGCAGCACAAGTCCCACATACAGTACATAGAGAAAAACTTAATTAGTAAGTCCCACCTGGTGAGGACGCAGACAATCAGTTCCTTAGAAGAACAATGACATCATTGTGGTATGAAGCGCTTCCCTGGCAATTGGTCAAGTACTTGGTCAAAGAACATATGCCACAATTGTGTGACTGCTGAAGCTACATTTAACACATAAGAAAATATTCACTTCTGCTGAGAAAACAAAACTAGCCAACTCTGTAGAAAAGAGAAAATGACATTGGCTCATCATTTGTGGCTCTCGGGGGAACTGACCAGGAAGCTGGTATTTAAATTAGACTTATACAACCATATTAAACCTACAACCCTCAATTTACAATCAAAAGAAAACAAAAAACATATCTTCATGCTTACAATGGCAGTGAGCTGCCACCTACCTCCGCAGAATTGGTCCGGGGAGAAGCCATGTTGTTTCCTAAAGGGAACGCGTCATACCTTGCAAAGTTCCTTTACCATTAAAGCAAAAACAGCACTCAACATAAGATGCCCGTAGGTAGCTGTTAAGGTAATAAAGCCCATCTCCAGAAGTAAGGAAGGGTTAGAAGTTCTGTCATTTTTGTTATAACTCCACTGGGGAAATTTCAGATTACTTTTAAAAATAAAGGGAGCAGGGGTTATGGAAATCGGGGACATGTAGCAATAAAACAGAGTTTCCAACTCTTCCCCATTGGAGAGATTTCCCATCACATGCTTATGATCCTATCAATGGGATATGAGCTGGAGAAAAGTGTTGCCAATGACAATACAGGCAGTGATAAAAACTGAACATCCGAGATGCTAACCTTGCCTCACTTTTGCTGCAAACCGCCTTTAAACAAATCACCTTTGGTGTGCCCTGGGAGACCCTCAATCCACTGTTACACCCCTTGTCATCACGAAAGACAAATTACAGCATCACTCATAGCCTCTGAGGTGCCCTCTATGGCTTGTGCAATGATGAGGGAAGGTGACAACGTTGGAGTTGAAATCAAAGCCACAGTAACAGCCTGGGACTTGATATACAAGATATGACAGGTTCCCTTTATGTCAGGCTCCCTGCAGAATGCAAACTAAACAACTGGTGCTAACTGACGGAATAGAAATAGCCAATGTTTACCAAGCACTCTACTAGTGTCTGGTGTAGAAGAGTATCTATAAAAAGGAATGTCCATAGAGGTGCGTCAATACAAAGAGAACATCGGAATGTGTTGAAACCTATTAAATGCCTTGCAGCTCTAAATGTCTGAAAGAATGTCGCACATTGTCCTGGTCTCATCTGGCACTGCCAGGGTCTGCCACGAGGTGCCCTCCCTCTTCCAGCAGCAGCAAGTCCAGGGCAGAGGCCCTCGCCAGTCTCCGGTGTATGCGTCTCAGCCTCAGAATATACAGTATAATGGAGAGCAGGACCACTAGAATGCAGGCGAAGAATAAATAGTGGTTATAGACGAAGGAGAAGCGATACCAACTCACATGTGCCGGACGAGCATTCTCTTGGCGGAGATCCCTGTAAAATCAATGCAAAACAACGTTACACATCAGGAAGGGTAACAAATATATAAAAAAGGTGACATGCACTTAAAGTGACCCTTTCGCTATATTGAAGATACTCAGCAACAGAATACCCGTGAAAGACAATCGTAAATACTCATCTTTCCCACTGCCCTTGCTTGTTCCCTCAGAACTAGCAAGACTCACCTAAATCCCCTTTCTGGGAGACCACCAACCCTATACCACATACTGGCAATACTCACACCTCTGCTGCCCAGGCCAGTGAACTCTCCAATGCTGTGAAATAGTCTGTCGGGAAACAGACACTTCAGGGAACGTTTATCTCCGCAGTCCCCCTTTTTCCTCCCTCTGACCTTGAGTTACTGCAGTAGAGAGTGGTGATGTATGGTCAGCAGGGGGAACCAGCGAGAGCTGCAGCAGGCCATGGTGATTGACACACCCAGAAGTGTCAATTTCCCGACTCGGTTCCCAAATTCTGTGCAATAACATGAAGCACAACAACACACTCACTGTGGCTGCACTGAAGTTGAATATTGAATGCGGACCTGACATTATGGCTAATGGGAGTCCCCATGGAGCTAACATGCTGCAGGAGTAGGGGACCCCTCTGTGTACCATGGATAGATCAGGAGTGAAAAGGCATATATACCAGAGATGCTCTTTATTTTATTTTACAGCTTTTATATTTATGCAGAACGAGAATGTTTACAGTGGTTTTGCAGGAAGCAGAAATACCTAACCTGCTTAGAATGGAAGCCGACCTCCTGCTTGGCAATGCAGCTTAAGTTTAGGTGCCATGGAGGCCCCGCAGAGGTGAAAATGCCCGCACTTACCTGAGAGGCAGAAAGCGGGTCTTGTAAAGCATGGCGCCAAGCGTCCACTGAACCTCCTTGTCATACACCAACTGGGCGGTCCTGAGGTTTGGATAGTCATGCGGAAAATGAAAGCCCTCATGGAGAACTTGATGCACCCAGGCAGACTTAAAACACTGATACCTGTAAGACAGGAATGAAGGATGCTGCAAATGTACTACCATAAATATGCATCACAGAAAACCAGAAGCAACAGGGTGTATCACATACTGGGGGAACAACATCTGCCAGAGTACACACTAATATATCACACCGCATTTTGGATTGGATTTTATAAGCAGGGGAACTGCGTCTAGTCCTCAGGTACTTGCATTCTCTTTATACAGAACACACATCTCTGCACGGTACTATATAAAGCAAAAGACTGGGGCCTTTATTCAAAATACATGTTTACTTTACTATAAAAAAACCTTGCACAGGTCCCCCTCCCTATTTTGTATGCCTGTCCCCACAAAGGCCTCATATGTAGCATGGTCATGCTTCTCACGAAGCAGCTCTCTTTAGTGGTGGCCAGCACTTATGTGTATATCACCTGGGTGTCAGTGCTGAACAATGCATGTGCCAAACCAGAGATGAGTGGGTAAGTTGAGGCAGCTGTGTCTGTGTAGGGGGGAAAGGAGAGAGAAGAAGAGGGGGGAAAGGAGAGAGAAGAAGAGGGGGGAAAGGAGAGAGAAGAAGAGGGGGGAAAGGAGAGAGAAGAAGAGGGGGGAAAGGAGAGAAAAGAAGAGGGGGGAAAGGAGAGAGATGAATAGGGGGGAAAGGAGAGAGAAGAAGAGGGGGGAAAGGAGAGAGAAGAAGAGGGGGGAAAGGAGAGAGAAGAAGAGGGGGGAAAGGAGAGAAAGAAAAAAGAAGGAGAGGAGAGAAGAGAAAAAAGAAAAGGGAGAGGAAAGCAAAGAAAAGAGAGAGGAGAGGAGAAGAGAAGAAAAGAAAAAGGAGGGAAGAATATGTCCCCATGGACGTGGCTCTTACTTACAGGCCAGCCATGTTAAAATATCATTCACCTAGAACCAATTCTGCCTGCAGAAGTATCATACAAGGAGCTCAGGGGTAAGCTTACTTCAAGCGGTGCAGGTCAGCATGGGTGGAGTAGAGACCATTTTTAAAGCGCTCAGTTAAAGTCGTCCACGGCATGCTACAGTAATCCTAGGGAAGAGAGCAGAGAGAACACATAAGGAGCTTGTACACGGAGGAGAATACGTATATGTCATGACTGTACAATGTCATTTATAAGACTTTTACCTTGGCAGCTTTGGAAAACTTGTGACTGTCGTATATTCCTCCCATCCGCAGAACGTCCTCTGTGCAGTAAAAGAATTCGGAAAACCCATAAAACTCGCTATTGGAGTAGTCAATCGCTGGCTGGTACACTGCGTTCAGATAGGCCTGAGTATCGTTTGATTTGGACAATAGTGGTTCGAGGAGCTGCCGGCAGCTGTCCCAATCCCCTTTCCCTACAATATGGAAGTCCAGGTTGTGCCGTTGGAGCTTGTCTTGGTGGCCACTGGGCAAACACGGGTCCAAATATGGAGTGTTGGAGTTCATGCCTGTCTGTCCTTTTGAAATCCTAAAACAACAACATCGCCTTTTAAGTACGATATCTAAAAGAACCATATTGGCTATAACCAGGGCACTCCCAAGGCATAACATTTCAATAACGGCTCATTCATCCAGCAACACATCAAGCAGGTCAGCACACTACTGAACATTGATAATCTCTCAGGAAACTGTCCCTCCACAATGATAAAGTGTGTAAACGCAAACAGTGAATTGCTCTTATTTTGTCCCATTGGTCTGTTAAAAATACCATTACAAACATTGTGTTATCTGTTCAATAAATGCAAAAAATACATGTTGATCCTGCCAGAAATATTTCTGAGGACCACAGAACCTTTAGGTTATGGAGAAGAAGTGAGGGAGTGGTTTTAATAGTCCTATTTGGTTTTTGTTATCCTCATACAGCAGGGTGAGAAGTCACCTCAATGTAAAAAGAAAAACGGATGAAGTCACCTTATCTAAGGGCTAGTAAGCTGCAATATATGACACTTTTTTTTTTGGGGGGGGGGGTTTAGATACACTTTAAATGACATCCTTTGCATTCTGGGGAGGCTCCCCCTCACCTGATTTTGATTATTTGTTTTCAGTGTCTGTATTTAGGGCACAGGTACTTCTTGGAACAAGACCGTCAGCCTCGGGTGTAAATACATTCTGCACAAGGCAAGGATAGATGCTTCATTACCCTTTCTCAATGAGCACCCACTGCACATACGGAATGTAGCCGCTCCTTGAGAAATAACAATTCACCGATGTGCACAACTACAGCTTTCTATTTTTTAATGTTGGGCTTTTAAAGCACTAGTAACCCTCAATTACAATTTATCCTATGTACTTTTAGTTAGGGATGCACTGATACCAGTATCAGTGCCGATACTGGCCATTTTCACGAGTACTTGTACGTGTAAATGCCCAGATACTAAAAACTGATACCAGTGCCTTAGATTTTCAAACAGAAGCGGCTGCCTTAGGTCCCCGCACTTGCTGGGGACCTTGGCAGCCTTCTTGGAAACCACGTGGTGCCTGTTTACAGCTCTTCCGCCCCTCGCACATCTCCACCTCCTGTGACCCTCTGGACCCCTTAGTATCGCTCCTGAGACATCAGGCCGGCACCCTGGAGCAGCACAGAGTATGTAGCTTCATATTATTCTGCATTGCTGTATAATGTATTGCTGGGACTTGTATGGCTTTATAGTTGGTGGCATTTTGCATTGCTATATAATGTATTGCTGAAATTTGTAGACCCTCTACAGCTTGAAGTCAGTGGCAGAAATAACAGGGTCTCAGCGGTCACATGACACTGAAAAAAAAGGTATCAGTAATTAGTATTGCCAAATACTTGAGGAAAAGTATTGGTACTTGTACCCTACTTTTAATACATAATATTCCCACTGCATACTTGGCAATGCCAAGTGGCTAAACCCATTCTATCATTCGTACAAATAGAAATTTCAGGCTGATAAGAAGTGGACTGCAGACCACTTTCAAAAACAGGTTACCAACAGGAGGTCAGCTTTGTGTAGAAAAGGGTTTCCCCTTTAAGATCACAATGTTGCCATTATATATTTAGTATTGATGAGCTCTGCAAACTGGCATGCATCAAGATGAGACCTTTTATCATATATCGCAGTGGACTGGAAAGTTACCCCATGGGGTGAGATAAGTTTTTATGTCTGCACGCAAAACAGCTTGTGTACTAGGAAGAGTTCTTTGTTTGAGGACTAAAGACGTTTAGTTATGGACTCTTGTGCTAAGCTATAGATTCTATTAGTTGTGTGGGTGATGTTGTGTTAGATATGATTGGTACATTTAAGATCCTTGATTTATAACCATTAATTATTGGTGGATATGTAGCAGCACATTGACGCCCATTGAATACTGTGATTGCGGAGCAATAGCATCTGCAGTTTAGAGAAAGACTGCAGTGCATCTTGGAGTGTTAATAAATAATGAAAATAATGTGTTAATAAAGTTATAATTATAATTTTTAGAAATTGTTTTGATCCTCCCCTGCCACTACAAGTGGCCAGATAGGGCAAATACCTGTTTCGCTGTTGCATGCAGTGGTTCCTCCCATCAGCTCATACGCCCTGTGTATGAGACTGCAGAGAAACCGCAGGGTGAAGTAATCAGGTATTCGACCCATCTGACCACTCGAATTCTTGCAATGGCAGGGAGAATGGAAAAGGCATATCTACAATTGGGCCCCCGGAAAGGTAAGTATATCGCCTCTTCTATTTCAGGTATGCTTCAACATACAATGTGGCCCTGTGCTGACTTGCAGGAAGAGCATTCATGCTCCACACCAGGGGTAGCCAAACTCCGGCCCTCCAGCTGCGGTGGAACTACAAATCCCATGAGGCATTGAAAGATTCTCACAGCCACAGACACTACTCCCGAAGAGAGATGCATCATGGGATTTGCAGTTTCACCACAGCTGGAGGGCCGGAGTTTGGCTACCCCTGCTCCACACAGACAACCTTCCCCAATAATCACTTAGGGCACACCTGTTTTTTGTAATAGTATCATTGAACACCATTTCTTCATAGCGCTGCCGGGCAAAGTTCCCTCCGAAGCCCATAAAGGTCGTGACGTAGACCCGGTAGACATGTTCCGTATGTTGCAAATCACAACCCAAGTTGAATTCGGCCAACATCTGTTTGGCTACTTCCTCCTGGAACACAACAGACCACGTTTTTTGCCTTGGATGTCTGAACCATTTTGTGTTTACGAAACACGGGCAAATACGCTTTTTCAAAATGTGTGGCATACAATTATCTCCGAGGCGTCATACATACGTACATGCTCTGCAGATGGGAACGTCATTGTTTTCGGAACCTCGTAGGCAATCTGGAGTGAGCCGCCACCCATGTCTATAATGCCTACCGTTCTCTTACGGATGATGGCTTCCTCCTGTGTACCTATTGTCACAGCAACCACAGCATCTTCATCTAAGGAACCACAACAATCAGATGACTGTACGCACAGTATAAGAAATATCATTGTCATAACGTATTACTATGTTTGCATTTTCTTCTACAGCACCTTATAGGTTAACCTTCGCACAGAATGACAAAAATCCACAACTTAAGTATTTACTTATTACGGGCATTTATATAGCACCAACAATTTACACAGGGTGTTACATACATGGCATTCACATCAGTCAAGGTGCTTACAATCCAAGGTTCCTATCTCACATACATATACAAACACGCTAGGGCCAAATTAGAATGGTGCCAGTTATTCTACCAGCGTGGTCTTTGCATTGTTGAAGGGAACCAACACAACCACAGGGGGGACATGCAAACTCCATGCAGATAGTATCCTGGGCGGGATTATTTGAAACGAGGATTCTATTGCTGCTAACTTCCAAGCCAAACTCCATTACAGACCATTCACTCCAGAGGAGCCAGATTTAGTCAGTTCAGTATTAAAATGGAACTTCTGCCAAGACTTGTTGTTTTAGGAAATTAGATCCTGTCAAGTTTTTATTTTTCTTTAACCAAAGGGGACTGGCAACACCGTCATTGCTTAGGGCTTTAAGTGAAACTAAACTCAGGAGTTAAATATTAAAAATGCATTCAAGTACCTCAACTATTAACAAAAAGTTATATTATTGATATATTATTCAATTTATATCACTTGCCTGCAGATCCTCAAATCATCTCTGAATTGGTGCTGACACTGTCCTTCCTTCTGGAGGGTGGCTACTTTTGTTCCCCATGTTCCCTGTGTCTGTTATAAAGTAGTCACCGCTCCAAGCTCACTCCCGGGATGGACTACAATCTCAATACAAATTAGGAAACTAAACGTGAGATTGTAGTCACTCACGGGAGCGAGCTTGGAGCGGTGACTACTTTATAACAGACACAGGGAACATGGGGAACAAAAGTAGCCACCCTCCAGAAGGAAGGACAGTGTCAGCACCAATTCAGAGATGATTTGAGGATCTGCAGGCAAGTGATATAAATTGAATAATTTACAACACACACAGGGACCAAGTTCATTTTTCTTCAGATTGCCACTTCTGTCTTCGTCCATATCGGGGAGATTTCCGCTCACTTCATTCAGAGCATTAGCTGTCACTGTCACTATTGGAGCGCTGGTTCTCTTGTAGAACATTTATCTTTGGGTGGCAACACTTTTTGAACAAGGTAAGGATGAGCCCAATGCTATAGGCGAAAATGTTGTTGTTGGCTATAATTTGGCTGGGCCAAGGTTTACACTACAAAAAAAGCTTATGGTCAGGGTGAAAGGTTAGGAATGGGGATAGGAAGCCAAAGCCCTGTGTTCTGCTAATGTAGACGAAAATGGACATGCGGCATTTTCTGTCCTGAGAAATGAAAGGACTCCTCGCTGGGGTCTTATTGGGGCCAAACAGAGTTCTTAAGAAAAGCATAATGCATCATTAGTATTATTAAATGAATGTTAAGCAGATGAATTATTCACTCACCATCTATGGCATGGTCAAACCGTCCAAGAACAGAATTTATACTGATCCACGCATAAACTCCTGAAAATCAAAACAGAACACTATTTGCATTTAGTATAGAATAATAACAGTAATTATACAAAAGCTGACAAGGGTCAGGAGTGGACCTTCATATCCATCAGACTTTGAATAATCTGATTTGTATCAGACATTTGTCATCACATCCAATAACTAAGCAGGCACCAGGATTTACAAGATTTTGTCATCCCTCTAGAAAATCAGATAAAGCTATCATTAGGGGGGGAGTCCTGTATAATTTGAATTGATAGGGCAGTGGCCTACCATAAAATGCCCACCCTACAGTGTATAAGCTACCATTTCATAATGATTTAACAAGTGACCACTTTGCTTTTCTGCTAGATGGTCACATGACACAAATGTCCTTTACCTGTAGCCTAAGGATACAGGCCAAAGCTACAGAGCCACAAGATTTTCCCTTCTCTCCCACAGTGCAATAAAAACAAATTTCTATAACTTGATAGAAAAAATAAAACTATACAAACCATGTAAACCATCCGGATGTCCCATCCATTTAAAGTACTTAGGTCTGCTTTAAGTAGAGTTGATACACACCACTCACTGGATCTTTCCAACCCACCCTGAATCACTGAACAATTGGAGCTTCAATATTGTAGAACTCATTGAACATACATATTCAGATATCATCATAATTGGAGATGTGCAGGGGACTGCGAAGGTTGTGATGGTGGTACATGAGTAAGCGTCGTAAACATTGCTTTGTTATAACAAAGCGCTGTACCTGTTCCGTCATTACATAATTGCATGCACTTGTATTACTGTACCTTCTTGTTTTCCAGAGATAACCTCACCATGGGCCTCAGAGAACAGAAAATCAAAATCCTGAGGAATGTCCTTCAGCAGATCCTGAAGGATAGCTGCCTGTTGACTAAAGGGTACATCTTATTAACACCGGGCAATAACTAGTCAAACAACTTTCAAAATAGAAGAGTCAAAGTTCCCTTCCATCCCCACTAATACGTGTCAGACATTTTGAGGAGAAGGACTGATTGTTGTAGGATGTTCTTACCTCTCTGGCAGGACTCTCATGCCGGCTGTACACAGGACGTACAGCGGCGTCTCCTTATGCTTAGACTTTGGAATATATGATGCAGCATAACTTAAAAGTGGGTTGATGTAATCACTGGCTTTATCTGGAGTCTGTGCCATAGTGGAGATACCTGTATGAACCAAGCAACAGATTGGCGTTAGTATAAGTAGTTTAACAAGCACAAATGAAGGCATGCATGCTGAATAAAAAAGTAACCAGGTTCATCTTTTATGGGTTTCCAGTAGTGTGGACAATAGAGATAAATGCCCCATGACCAGCTCTACTGCCTCCGCTACCCCCCTGGGGCCAGCTCTACTGCCCCCGCTACCCCCCTGGGGCCAGCTCTACTGCCCCCGCTACCCTAAAGCCCAGACCTATTGCACCACTGCCCTAATGCCGGACCTATTGCAATGCACCACTACCCTACATCCAGCACCATTACCCTAAAGTCAGCTTTACTGTACCGCTACCCTATGGCCAGATCTATTGCACCACTATCCTGTAGCCAGTACTACTTCACCACTTCCCTATAGCCAGCACTACTGCACTTTAAACATAAACTCATCAGTATTAAAGCATAATCCCATTATTCCAGACATCTGTTTACAGAATTATCACTAGGTGGCAGCAGCTACCCAGTCAATGATAATCCTAATAAATGTGCCTTCGAAACGTAGGGATTCTCATGCTCTCCAAAGTAGGGTTGATCTAATGTGCGGATTTAGAAACAATAAAAAGGACATATGTACATAGAAGCAGACTTCACAGCTGTCAGTTGGGGTCATTCCATACAGTTGTAAAAAAAAAAAAAAAAAACAACAACGCTAGTAGCTTCATTTCATCGTCTATAACTCTTACTTGATGCATCACCTCTAACCAAGTCAAAATGAAACACCTCACAACCTTGCTTCTAGCATTTTTTTTTAGACAACGTAAGGCATATTTTGTCCTTAATCTTGAATGACCCCAGAAGATGGCATGTGTGCCATTTATAAGGTCTCAATGATCCCTAACAAGCAGTAGAGACTAACATAAGAATATCCCATAAAGCATTGTTTCATATATTCAACCTTTACTGCTCTAAATGAAGTCTTGGCAGGTACCTGGTTTTATCTTCTTCACCACAGGCTTGCTGCCGTGATCCCTCATCTGTTTAATGTCCAGCAGGTCATGTGGATTTCCATTGTGTGGAGGCCAGAAGTAGACAAACACGCGGGAGCCGCTGCTGCCACAGTCCACCACAATGCCATAGTTGAGCTGGGTGTCCTTGGTATCTGTGGCTTCCAAATCTTCTATCTGGTCCAGGTACCTAGAGAAGGGATGACAGAAATAAATGGAAGGACAGGACCGGTTCATCTTGTCTAAGCAAATTCAAGCTTTTCTATGCAGAAGTGGAACAGGCGAGAAGATGGAATTTAATGTTAGGACATGGACTGTATTATTAACCACCCTTACTAAACATGCACTCTGCATATGGCTGAATATTACACAGCAAATTGGGCTGCTTCAGGGTCTGTACATGCAGTATATGCTTGCATCCATCCTTTCCTCCATCTTTCAGAGCTCTCCTGAGAGCATGAGGGCTCTCCAAAAGGAGGAAACCAAAACAGAATTATCTCAATGAAGTAGACTGAAATATGAAAATGATGTCACATGTGCAACTTATGTTTATTGGACTATTTGACGCAATACAAGCTTTTAGCTGTGGATATCAAGCATTAGTACTGAGAGCATATTTTGACATCTGTACGCATAGTGACTTAGGGCTACGTCACAACTTTGTAGCAGGGATTTGCAGCAGTTACCAATCACTCGGCTTATTGTCTCTGGCAATTCGTAGCTTTCCATGCAGAGATGCTGCTGCAGATGACTACAATGTTCACCTAGTCAGCTGCAGATCAATGGTGTGCCATGATCATCAACTGTATTGTAGAACATGAGTAGCTTCTGCAGCTGGAGGTGCTTTTGCTAGGTCCAAATGCTGCATAAAGTCAGTGGATAAGCTACCAAATCGCTTGGACTTTCTGTGTCACAGACCTTTCACTGGCTGCAATTTATTTTTCTGTAGCAGCTTCCTAAAACCCCCAGTGTGACATGGGCCTTAGACTTAAAGTGTACCTGTGCTGGGACTCCTTTTTGAAAACCTACCCTGGGAACATCTGGCTGCCTACATGCCCCTTTAACTTACACGTAAGCAGACTGGTCCAATTGAGCGGATCGCACAGTGCGTGCTGATAGCGGTCATCCTGGACTTTGACAAACAATGGAAGGACTCCAATATTTATTGGAAAATGAGTCAGAGTGGTTCCTGATCATGTGATCACAATGACAATCAATCGTGGTGATCATATGCAGGCTGGATGTTAAATCCAGATGTCACTTTAGCCTGATGATGGCAGTAAGTCTCTGTTAAATATGGTTATTGTCAGATACAATTACAGAATTAAATAGAAAATAGTAAACAAACAATTTTGTTTTACATTTTAGTCCGTGTAGGTGTGTATTTATTAGAACACTGTACCAAATAAAAAAGTCTTAGATGTCCTCAAAAACAATGCAAAAATTATTTACTTGACAAATTAGTCATAGAGATACTGTCAAATTAACCAACACTGGTAGACTTTAATAACCTCTGGTTTAGAATTATATAACTCTTGAGATCTGTTATTGAATTTGACTCCATGTCTGTTCAATAAACTTTAAAGAATAAAAAAATAAATAACCCATTGCTATCTAAGCAAAGAGATGTAGCCGGTAATACTGGAAGTTATGTAACCAGTGATATATAACACAAGAAATACTTACCCGCCCTCAGCATTGGTTGACACAGAACAAAGAGTTATTATTCAATAGCAGAGTTAACTGTATGTGCATTAGGTTTAAGGATCTAAAAGTGTGTAAACTATAGGAGCAAAGAGTAAAAAAGAAACAAAATGGATGAAATACAACAAGACAAGTAAACTCCAGACAGATTTTGTCCTGCAGAGTATATATGACCAAACTCAAGAAAATCTTAACTATTTGTGATTTGATTAGCGATGACTAGTTTCATATTTTATTATGACGCTGCAATGCAGCAGTATGTATTGTCCCTCTCTCCCCCCTCCCCCCCCACCCCCCCCCCCTTCTCTTCCCTCTATGTCCAGCAGGTCATGTGGATTTCCATTGTGTGGAGGCCAGAAGTAGACAAACACGCGGGAGCCGCTGCTGCCACAGTCCACCACAATGCCATAGTTGAGCTGGGTGTCCTTGGTATCTGTGGCTTCCAAATCTTCTATCTGGTCCAGGTACCTAGAGAAGGGATGACAGAAATAAATGGAAGGACAGGACCGGTTCATCTTGTCTAAGCAAATTCAAGCTTTTCTATGCAGAAGTGGAACAGGCGAGAAGATGGAATTTAATGTTAGGACATGGACTGTATTATTAACCACCCTTACTAAACATGCACTCTGCATATGGCTGAATATTACACAGCAAATTGGGCTGCTTCAGGGTCTGTACATGCAGTATATGCTTGCATCCATCCTTTCCTCCATCTTTCAGAGCTCTCCTGAGAGCATGAGGGCTCTCCAAAAGGAGGAAACCAAAACAGAATTATCTCAATGAAGTAGACTGAAATATGAAAATGATGTCACATGTGCAACTTATGTTTATTGGACTATTTGACGCAATACAAGCTTTTAGCTGTGGATATCAAGCATTAGTACTGAGAGCATATTTTGACATCTGTACGCATAGTGACTTAGGGCTACGTCACAACTTTGTAGCAGGGATTTGCAGCAGTTACCAATCACTCGGCTTATTGTCTCTGGCAATTCGTAGCTTTCCATGCAGAGATGCTGCTGCAGATGACTACAATGTTCACCTAGTCAGCTGCAGATCAATGGTGTGCCATGATCATCAACTGTATTGTAGAACATGAGTAGCTTCTGCAGCTGGAGGTGCTTTTGCTAGGTCCAAATGCTGCATAAAGTCAGTGGATAAGCTACCAAATCGCTTGGACTTTCTGTGTCACAGACCTTTCACTGGCTGCAATTTATTTTTCTGTAGCAGCTTCCTAAAACCCCCAGTGTGACATGGGCCTTAGACTTAAAGTGTACCTGTGCTGGGACTCCTTTTTGAAAACCTACCCTGGGAACATCTGGCTGCCTACATGCCCCTTTAACTTACACGTAAGCAGACTGGTCCAATTGAGCGGATCGCACAGTGCGTGCTGATAGCGGTCATCCTGGACTTTGACAAACAATGGAAGGACTCCAATATTTATTGGAAAATGAGTCAGAGTGGTTCCTGATCATGTGATCACAATGACAATCAATCGTGGTGATCATATGCAGGCTGGATGTTAAATCCAGATGTCACTTTAGCCTGATGATGGCAGTAAGTCTCTGTTAAATATGGTTATTGTCAGATACAATTACAGAATTAAATAGAAAATAGTAAACAAACAATTTTGTTTTACATTTTAGTCCGTGTAGGTGTGTATTTATTAGAACACTGTACCAAATAAAAAAGTCTTAGATGTCCTCAAAAACAATGCAAAAATTATTTACTTGACAAATTAGTCATAGAGATACTGTCAAATTAACCAACACTGGTAGACTTTAATAACCTCTGGTTTAGAATTATATAACTCTTGAGATCTGTTATTGAATTTGACTCCATGTCTGTTCAATAAACTTTAAAGAATAAAAAAATAAATAACCCATTGCTATCTAAGCAAAGAGATGTAGCCGGTAATACTGGAAGTTATGTAACCAGTGATATATAACACAAGAAATACTTACCCGCCCTCAGCATTGGTTGACACAGAACAAAGAGTTATTATTCAATAGCAGAGTTAACTGTATGTGCATTAGGTTTAAGGATCTAAAAGTGTGTAAACTATAGGAGCAAAGAGTAAAAAAGAAACAAAATGGATGAAATACAACAAGACAAGTAAACTCCAGACAGATTTTGTCCTGCAGAGTATATATGACCAAACTCAAGAAAATCTTAACTATTTGTGATTTGATTAGCGATGACTAGTTTCATATTTTATTATAACACTGCAATGCA